TAATGCACAGGTGAGACCAGCCCGAGAGGAGCAGGAAGTACGTGTGTCCTCTTCCTGGGTGCAGACAGGCCTTTGGAAGGTTATTCCTCTGGCAGCCCTTTCTCCAGGGGCGCAAGGGAAGCCAGACCCTGGGCCACAGGCTCTGTCCCTGGGATAGCCAGATCTCAAGAACACAGCTCCAGTGTCTTGCTTTTTGCCTCTCTAGGCTAAGCCACCCACTCTCACGATCAGGAAGCTAAATTGGCAACACCTAAGGGCACCTCCCACCCAGGGCACCTCCACCCGGGCCTAGCACTTACTGCTGTGTGCTTAGCAGGCTCTCTGCACAGAGCAATAACAGGACACGTTTCTCGTCATTTAATTCTTCTACACCCCTTTGAGCTCTTTTTAACCCCATTTAACAGAGGAACAGACTCAGATTCAAAAAGGTGGAGTAGCTTAGTTAACATCAAATGGGCGGGAAGGGGTCCCGGCCATGACTGGAAACCAGGTCTGTCTGGGTGCAAAGTTCAGCTGCTTGACCATCCCTCTGGGGGACGAAGCCTTGGGAATCCCCCCAGATACACAGACTAATTCAAAATCAACACAAGGAAAAGCCACCACAGAACAAGGGCTCTTTGCTTTTTAAATTGCATCATTCGTGGTATCAGTCACTCATTCACTGATCATTATCATGGACTTGGGGAGGATTCAACCTCCCAGTTGCTCTCAGCTGTCTTCTTGTTGGGTGGTCCTTATTGGGGTCTGACCTCGAAGTTCTAAGTAAGTCAATTAGCACGTGTTCACCAAGCACCTACTAAGTGCCCAGCACTGTGTTAGGCCCTGAAGAGGAAAAGAAGGGTCAGATTTCAGGGGGACAGACAATGAGCATGCTCTTGGCTGGGGAAGGGAGAGCCAGACTCCCGTAAGCCTGGCTCCAGCTGTGAGGAGTCGGTGAAGGGAAACAGCGCCCCCTGCCCCAGGTCTCTGAAAGTACACGGCCCAAGGCCCTGCTGTGTATCAGGAACAGGGCCTGGCAGGTCTGTACAGTGACTTGGGTATTAAGGAGACAGATCTGGGTGTGACTCGCTACTCACTGGCTGGGTGCCCTTTGGCACTGGATCACCTGGTCTCTCAGCCTCAGTTTCCCCATCTGCAAATATGACTGCCATTGTAGTAGAATGATAGAACCTTAATGGGACGATTCAGTGAGAAGACGTGCTTGTGGGGTGCTCGGCATGGGGTCTGGCACATCACACACAGTAGGGCCTCAATCACGTAATTATTCAGATTACAGCCACCTCGTGGTCTACTCGTGGTCTACGGCAGTGGTACCCAATGCTGGCTCAGCAGGAGGATCTCCCAGGGAACTCTTTTTATTTATTTTTAGTGAGAGGGGAAAGGAGGAAGAAAGAAGGGGAAAGAAACATCAATGTGTGGTTGCCTCTCACAAACCTCCAACTCAAAAACCTCCAACTGGGGACCTGGCTTGCAACCAAGGAATATGCCCTGACTGGGGATCGAACCAGAGACCTTTTTTGGTTTGCAGGTCAGAACTCAATCCACTGAGCCATACCAGCTGAGGCCGGGGAGCTCTTTTTAAAGGGGCCTCACCTAAGCATCCTGCTCTGTAGCCGGGGTGGGATAGGCAAAGTAGAAGCTGGCTGTTTTACACTCACCATTTTCAGCAGGCTTCTGTGAGAAGTTCTCCGGCCAGAACAGTTCAATGGGCCTTTGCCTTAGCCTCTGGCTCCTGGTCTGTACTGTGCCTCCAAGAGCAAACCCGTGGTCTTTCCAGAAGTCCTCTGCTGCCCTCTAATGGACATGGCATGCGCACGCCTTTCTGCAGCCTCTGTGGAGCTTGCCGGGTACCATGAGCTATGCTAAGTGCCTGGGACGATATCGCCTCTCCAGTGTGTACACCTGGGGAGCACTTTCACAAATGCCCCTCCTCTGGCTCTTATTTAAGTCCTGTCAAGTGAGTTACTGTTACCCTCGTTTGGAGGTCTAGATGAGGAAAGCAAGGCCAGAAAGGGAAGGACTGCCCCACGATCACCCAGCAAGTTACAAGAACTGGGACCCAAGTCTCTGAAGTCCTAGCTCTTTGGGAAACAAGTACCAAAGCCTAGAAATCACGGGGCAGCGAGGGTATCTCCTCTCCCATCACTGGGCATGGCATTCTGGGTGCTGCTCACCTCCAGCCTGGCCACGAACGGACAGGCTTTGGCTCCAAGTCCAAGGGAGCTGGGCAGGGTCAGCATTTGGGGTAAAGCCTGCAGCTGGACACCTCCTCCTGGGGGAAAGAGGGTCACCCTGCCACCCCCTTCCACCAGGAGCAGAGGAAGGCCCGAACCTTGACCACACCCTTTGGTCTGAGTTCTGCCCGATGTCCTTGATGGCCTTGTTGGTCCAGTCACCAAGTCCCGGTGTCCCAGTTTCTTGGAGAACTCCTAGGGAGTTGCTTTCATGGGCTTCCCACTTCCACTGCCTCCTCATTGGTTTCCCCTGATCAGGAATGGGAATGGCCACTCACTTCTGAAAAACATCCAGTGCTGCCCGTACACTCCAGGCAAGGAGCAAGCCCCTCAGCCTGTACCATAGTCCTAAGTGCTGGGCCTCAGCCACACCCACAGCCTCATGTGGCCACACCCCTCTGCCCCCCAACTCCAGACCTGTGGTTTTTGATTGGTTCGATTTTTCTATTCCAAATGCATATCTCTCTCCCTCTCTCTCTCTCCATCTTCCTCCTCTAAGCCTTTTGGTTGCTGTTCCTTCTGTCTGGACTACCCTCTCCCCCCACGCACTCCATGCACTTCTGTCTGGCTAAGTCCCCCTCATCGGGTTAGACTGCCCTCCTCGGCCTCGGCTTCCCCATCGCTGCAGTCACCATTCTGTCTGATCACCTCCTCCTCCCTCCTCCCTCCTCCCTCCCACTCTGACCAGCAGTGAGCTCTGAGAGTCCTGTCCTCACCGACAGGCACTCAGTGTGTATGTGGTGACAGAGAGAGTGGGTGAATGAATAAGTGATGGGGAGAAGTGGGATGCTGGAAGTCAGGCCGATCTGGGCCCCAGCTCGGCAACGAGCTGGATGACCTTGAACAAGTCCCATTGCCTCCCTGAGCACAATTTTCATCTGAAAATGAGGACTCCCTTCCCCACTGCTCGGGGCACCTCTCAGGCTCCAAGGCCTCCTGGACGGGGCGGGCCCTTCCACTCCCCTCAAATGGTTCCGGAACCTGGCCAGTTCCTGTGGACTCTTGATTTCCTGGATCCCCTAAGCGGGCAGTGGCCCCAGAGCCTCCCTCCCCCACCCCCGTGTCCAGGGAGGGAAGAGAGTGCAGCCCTTCCTGACCGCACGGCCAGTGGTGCATCTCTGTGTCCCTCCCGGGGTTAATTTTTAAAAAGCAGCTCAAAGTCCAGTGGGTCTTGGCAGAGTTTTCTCCCTCTGTTTGTGCTGGTTAATGATCTCAGGAGAGCAAACATCCCTGGAGGCAGGGGAAGAAATGAACGTCCTGGTCCGGCCTCTCCCCTCCCCCAGGAGAGGCCATGCAACTGAATGAGCGGTCCTGTCCAAAGAGGCCCATGTTGTTCTTCAGCCCGTGGGCCTTGGGCTTCCCATGAGCCCATGGGGTTGACAACCCTAATAATGCCATGAAGATCAGAGGGGTCCTCGCAGTCCCCTCTAAAATGTTTGCTTCAATATTTTAATTTAATGAATACTGTATAGTTTCCTAAGGCTGCCGTTAGCAAGGTACCACAGATCGGGTGGTTTAAAACAACAGGAATTTATTCTGGAGGTTAGATGTTTGACCCCAAGTTGGCAGTGGGGTCATGTCTCTCCTGAAGGTTCTAGGGAAGAATTCTTCCTTGCCTCTTCCTGGCTTCCGGTGTCTGCCAGTTGTCCTTGGCCTTGACCTGCAGCTGCCTCACTCCAATCTCTGCCTCTGTCTTTACCTGACCATCTTCCCTGTGTGTCTCTGTCTTCGCCTCAATCTGCCTCCTCTTCCCCTTAGGAAGACATCAGTCACTGGATTAGGGCCCATCCTCATCCAGGCTAACCTCATGTTAACTAATTACATCTGCAAATGAGGTCATGTACGGAGGTTCTGGGTAAACGTGAGTTTGGGGGACACTGTGCAACCTGCCACAAGCATATTCAGCTCTTCCTGTGTGCCAGATACTGTCCTCACAACAATGCAATGGAACTAGTATTATCCCCCTTTACAGAGGAGGAAACCGAGGCACCGAGCGGTGAAGTTTGCCCGCCCAGGCCACACAGCCAGTGAGTGGCACAGAAGGTGGTCTGGCTCCTGACTCCGTGCCCCCAGCCATGCCAAACGCTGCCTCCCTTGGCGACGCCACTTATCACAGGTGAGACCCCGGGCAAGTCGTTTTCTTGAGACTCCAGTTCCCTGTCTGAGAGGGGGAAACTCGCACCCGGGTTATGGGGCAGTGGTGGGTGAGTGTGAAGTGCCGGAGCACAGCTGGCACATGGCAGGTGCTCCAGGCACGGGAGCTGTCATTACAGTCGCCACCCTCATTATTCCTGCTGTGATTTGTGGGGGCTGCGGGAAACCTGCGGCGACAGACAGAACACTGCGGACAAGATATTGTAGACTGCCCTGCGGTCTCCGATAAGTCACTTCCTCTCCCTGCGCCTCAGTTTTCTCATGTGAGAAATGGGCCCACTCAGGCTTGTCCTCCCGGGCTCTCAGGACTGTGAGGTCTGGGTGCAAAGACTCAGCAGAAAAGGTCAGGGCTAGCTGTGCCCTGACTCCTCACATACCCCCGTGACAGGTGGGAGTCTCTGGGGAAGCCTTCCTGGGGGTGAGCGCAGCCTGGGCTGCATCTGGGCCCTGCTGTGTTTGGCCATCACCACCTCTGAAACAGACACCCTGGCCCCTTTGGACCACTGACCCCCGCGAGGGCGCTATGAGGGATCGATCAGACCTGGCCTTGAGGCCCTGATTGGCCCTAGCTGAGCAGGGCAAACACCAAAGCCACTATGACCCACTGACCCTTCCCCAGCTTCAGTTTGCAGGTGTCTCAGGCAAGGAGCTCCTCTGTCCCCAGACTGAGCCCTCGAGGGACTCCCTAGTCAGAGCCATGCAGAGTCTCAGGGCCCTGCTGCTGCTGACCGCCTGCCTGGCGGTCACTGCCAACCCTGTGCCCACACTGCTGGACGACATCCAAGTGCAAGAGAACTTCAGCTTGTCCAGGGTAAGGCTGGCTTCTCTGGGGGTGATGGTGGTGCCTGAGCAGCTGGGCCCTGCTAGGCGGGCAAGCCTGGCTTGCCTTGGGGTCTCATTCTCCCCATCTGGAACTCCAAGGGTGGGTCCCTAAAGGCTTTTTTCCTGCTCCGACCATCTGCGATTTGTTGAAGCAACAACTCAATGCACCTGCCGGTCTGTGGGACTTTTGTCTGACATGCCAAGTCAAATGCCCTCACCTTCACACCTGTCCTCTCGGGTTCCAAGGGGAACCCATGGTGTTATTAGAACCCACCCTGGAGGAGGCTTTGAGCTGACTGCAGCCCCTCAGCCACCCCCACTGCCACCAAGCCCAGCTTTACGGGACTCTTCCTGCCCACCCCACCCCAGCCCTCACCCTTCAACCACTCGCCTCACCCCACAGCACCTTTGTTAGCCCGTGCTGGGTCCTCTGCCCTCACAGGTCTGGGTGGCACAGGGTGAGTGCGCGGGGTTATAGGGAGAGAGGAGCAGGCCAGAGTTCGGGCCTGGCAGGGACAAGGGCGCTGTGTCCGGGGCGGGGTGGGGGGGGGGAGTCCTAGGCCTCCCTTCCAGGCCCAGCTCTGCCTGAATCACTGGGTGAACTGAAGCAGAACCTCGCCCACCCAGGACTCAGTCTGCACATCGGTCCGGGGGCCCCTCAGACCCTCGCTGTGGCATCCCGTGGATTTTACTTACTTCCAGGGACCACGAAGGGCCGTGGGCGGAGGGGTGGTGAGGTGCAGGGCCGGAGGTGGTCTGCGATGGGGGAGGGACACAGGCTCACTGGCCCTTAGCAGTGGACGTGGGGGCTCCCTCAACTCTCCCACGTGCAGTCAGGAGAGGGGGGCATTAGGCTTGTCCTGCATCAGCTCGAGGAAAAGAGGTACTTTACAACATGGGGCCCTGGGCTGCTCGCAAGGTGGTGAGCACCCTGCCTCCTGACTCCTGCTCTTGGGGAGCACTGGTTGGTGATGACTTCAGGGCGCAAGGATTTGGACCCCGTCCAAGTGACAGGCACAGACCTCAGATGGCAACAGAGTAAGGCTTCTGCCAGGCAGGCGGGACCCCACCTGAACACCTCCTTTCTAAGCTTGCCACAATGCCCGAAGTTCTGTTATTAGGGCTCCATCCTCCCTTGAAGCTGTGTGGCCTCCGATTAGCTGCAAGATGTTATCGCTTGAAAGCGTTAGTCATTCAGAGGCGGGAGGGGAGCAGACATCTGCCAAGTCTTCTCTGAGGTCTGAGGCCAAATCCAGACCCTCCGCGTTGTGGCTGTCTTGTCTCCTAGTTCTACGGGAAGTGGTTCCAAGTGGCCATGGGCTCCACATGTCCGTGGGTGGTGAGGTTCAAGGACAAGCTGACCATGAGCACGCTGCTGCTGAGAGAGGGAGCGACAGAGAGGCAGATCAGCACGACCAGCACCCGTTGGCGGTGAGCTTGGGGATGGGGCAGGAGGGGCAAGAGGGACCAGGGCCCCCCAGCACCCCGCCCTGGCTTCAGTCACCACCGTGTTCTGCAAAGTTACAGGTCTCTCCTCCCAGCCAGGCCCTGGGCTCTGACCCTGGGCTCTGAGCTTGAGATCTCTCTGCTGCTTGCTCCCTGGCCGGACGGCATTTCTAGGGTGTTTTTTAAAAATTTTTATTTGATTATTTTTAGAGAGAGGGGAGAGGGAGAGAAACATCAATGTATGGTTGCCTCTCACGTAGCCCCCACTGGGGACCAGGCCTGCAACTCAGGCATGTGCCCTGACTAGGAACTGAACCAGTGACCCTTTGGTTTGCAGCCCAAGTTCATTCCACTGAGCTATACCAGCCAGAGCCAGGGTGTCATTTCTAATCATCCCATCTGCACCTCAAGGACAATGCTTCCAACACTATGCCTGTTTTTTAACTTGCTGTCGCTCCCAGCGCATCCCTTAGTGCAGTAAGGGTACTTCGACCCGCCAGCTGCCCAATCTGGAAACCTGGGCAGGAAACCAGTGGCCTGAACTCTTGTTTCTGCTGCCGTGGGCCATTCCACCCGTCAATGAACCTCATCCTTTTCTCTTCCAAAATCCCTCCCATCTGTTCACCTCTCCCCTCTTCCTTACCACCAGCCGTGGTCCAAGCCACCTCCCTTTCTTTCCTGCTCAGCTACAATAGCCTCTCTGCATTTCTCCCCACCTCTAATCTCAAACCTTCCATTCAATCCACTCTTCACCTAGCAACTTGAAAGACCTTTCAGAAATTCAAATCTGCTTAAATCTTTCTATACCTCCTCCCTATTGCCGTTGGGAACAAAATTCAACCCCTGTCACGTGGCCTCTCAGACCCCTCCCCGCACTCACCATTCCCTGCCCCCTTCCTCCCTGTACTCTGCGACCCACCCCTGTGGGCCTGCTTTCAGATCCTGGGACCCTTCATCCTCTCCTACCTCTTGCGCCGTATATTCCTTCTACTAGGGAAACGTCTCCCCACCTCCCTGGGCCAACTCCTCGGGATCCTTCAGGACTCTGGTTCTATGTCCCTCCCTCCAGGAAGGAGGAAGGCCTCCCTGACCCCCGCAGGTTCAGGTTACAGGTTTGTCTTTGTGCTGTCGGAGCCCCTCAGGCCTGCCCACCTGTCCCACTTCACTGTAAGCTGCTTGTGGGGACAGGGTCTGTCTTGCCCTCCTCTGTATCCCTGCACAGTACGTGGCACATAGACGCTGCTCAATAAGTAACAATCATCATAACAGTCAGAGCTAAGATGTGCATGGTGCTTACTCCAAGCTCTTTACCTATGATATCTCATTTGATCCTCCCGGCCACAATGTGAGGTAGAAACTATCATTACCCTTGTTTCAGGCAAGGGCACTAGGGCAAGAGAGACACAGAGTAATGAATGCATGCGTTAATTCATCACTCCAACTTCCCAATGCATCGGTGTAATGTACAGATTTGATTTTTAGTATACACTTTGCCAAGAGATGGCACGGATTCGTCCGTTTTCTTCTCTGTCCCTCTGTTCCCAAGTATGTGAAATGGGTGTCTTCTAGGGCTGGGGTAAGCATGTTAAACAAGATATTTGAAAATGTTCCTTTCCAAACTCAACAAAGAAAAGAAAGGCGTTTGAGAAGGGCCTGGGAGGAGAAGGGGGTACCGGGACCACGGTCTCCACCAGAGCTCACCTTCGTTTCGGATGTGCTCATTTCCAGGAACGGGGTCTGCGAGGAGCTGTCTGGGTTTTTTGAGAAAACAGACACGGATGGAAAGTTCCGCTTCCACAAGTCCAGTAAGCTGGGTGAAAGGAGACACCTGCGTTCTCTGCTTTGCTGAAAAATACCTCGACGTCTGAAGCTCTTTCCTGTGTCTCGGTGTTCTCTCCCCCTGTAATCTCTCCTTTTTCTGAGATGTCATCTAGCCTTCCTCCAAAATTCTTCCTCCTCCTCCCCCTTCTTCTCTCTCTCTCTCTCTCTCTCTCTCTCTCTCTCTGTCTCATGTATGTGCACATCCATAATTAGACTGATGGTGTGAATGTGAGGATAACATCAAGATTTCGTCAGTCTTTGTGTTAGGCATCTGCAATCAGCTGATAAAAATTTACGAAGCATCTACCATGCACAGTGTGCATGGTGCTAAGTGACAGAGGAACATGGGCATGAATTGATTCATTTATCCAGCACATGTTTATTGAATATGCCCCGTGTATCAAATAATTGTGTTAGGGGTTGATTATATGAATGTTTGGGTAGGTGGATGGTTGGATAAGTGAGAGAATAAACAGATTTTGGTAAATGAATATACATATGTATGGATGGCAGATAGGTGGGTTAATCATCTATTGCATAAATTGATGACTTAATAGATGGAGGAAAAAGAAGGAGAGAAAGAAGGAAGGAGGGAGGGAGGAAGGAAAATGGATACACTTCTAGACTGACATATGGAGAAGATGGATAGATGGAATGATGGTGGATGAATGAACAATGACTCTATGTAGGAGACAGATGGGTGAATAGACAAACGAGTACATATGGAAGGGGTGGGTAGATAGGATGGCTGAGTAGGTGATGTGTGGGTGAACAGGTGAAGGATCTCAGGCTAGCAGAGCCTCCTCTGACCACCGAGCCCTTTGTTTCCCTGCATCTCCCATGCAGAATGGAACTTCACCCTAGAGCACTATGTGGTCCATACCAACTATGATGAGTACGCCATTACTCTGACCAAGAAACTCAGCCACCACCGTGGACCCACTATTACCGCCAAGCTCTATGGTAAGGGTCTGGAACCAGATATGCTCTCTGGAGCTGGGGGTGGGAGGAGACCTGTGATTGAGGGACAGTGGAGCAGAGTGGGGAGGAACAGAGAGTTTCACCTTTTCCTTCTGATAAAACTTCAGTTACAGGACAGGTGAGAGCATCTACTCTCTCTGAAGGAGGTAGAGCTCACTCTCACATTTTAGGCAGAATCCTCTTCTTTTGATTTCTAAAATTCCAGACCCAGAGAATTCCAGAGCCTCTAGGCCCTTAAAGAAACCCGGGGAAGAGCCCTCTGTGGGGATCTGGGAGACCTGGGTGGGTGCTTGGGAGGGGACATGCCTTCCTCTCCTGGAGTTGATCTTTGCATACATGCATTGAAGAGATCGAACTGGACCAATAGTTTCAAACTTCCCCTAAATGAAAATCACAGGGCAACATGACCTCTGGTCCTGCCAGCCCAGGCCCCGAGGTTCTAGGTATCTTCTCTGCTCCCCACTTGCAGGGCGGGAGCCGCAGCTTCGGGAAAGCCTGCTGGAGGAGTTCAGGGAGTTTGCCCTGGGCTTGGGCATCCCCAACGACTCCATCTTCACAATGGCTGACAGAGGTAAAGGGCACCCCCACCCCACTTCACGCTTCTTTCTCCTCTTCAACCTTCAAGGCCCCCAGAGAATATCTTCTTCGCCCCTGGGTCTTTCTTCTAACCCTCCGAGATAAGTGGAGCTACAGTTCCCTTTTTCCTTCCAGAGAGGGCAGTGGGGGCCCCTGGATATACTCCAAGTCACATAGCATGTACCTGGTTGGCGGAGGAGCCTGGACTAGAACTAACTCAGTGTTCACTCTACTGCTATGAGTCTAAGTGAGGTTATACCCAGAATCCTTAGGTGCCTCTAAAGGAGGTCACAGAGGGTAAGGGTGAAGAGCATGGCCTACAGAGTTTGAACACCTGGGTTCATGTTGAGCGGCGCAGCTGACTTTCTTTGGCTGGTCAATCTTCCAGAGCCTCATTTTCCTCATCTGTAAAATGGGGATAATAATGTCTCCCTTCTAAGTTGCTGTGAGGAGATAAAGTCATTGAATACAATAGTGCTGTGCCTGGGGTCTCATAAGTGTTCAACAAATGTCAGCCACTGCTGTTCTGTGATGGTGCTGATGAAATGCTGGTGGTGGGGTGGAGACGACAGCAATGGTGATGACGGTGCAGCCACCAGCCTGTAGCTTTTCCAGTGAATGACCTTCAGCAGACCATGTGGGTGGAGCCATTCACAAAGAGGCTAGTGCACAAGGCAGCTGTCAGTGTGATGTCCACCTGGCCTGTGGGCAGCAGTGTGAAAGGAGCAAAGTCCTCCCCGGTCCAGGATGCTTACCACGCGTGGTCCTCTTCCTCACCTCTGTGCTCTGTCCTCTGACCTAGGAGAGTGTGTCCCCGGGGAGCAGGAACCAGAGCCCACTTCACCCCCAGTGAGTACCTCTTTCCACTACCCCCTGCCTGCTCGTTCTTGCTGCCCTCGCTTAGGCCCTGCATGGTGGGGGTGGGGTCGCTGAGAGGGGCCGAAGGAAGGCAGTGAGAGGCCTGGGTGTGGAAGGCGGTCCCACCGGGCCTCAGCCTCGGTTCTGCCATTGAGGCCAGTGACTGCCCTCTCTGGGCCTCACTTTTTTCCCATACGAAGTGGGTAATCAGTCCTTCCAAGAGCTGGAATTCAATGCCATGGTAGGAAAGGGGTTAGCATAATGCCTACAAGCAGTAAGATACTTAATACTGAACTAACAGTGCTCAATAAATGAAAATAAGATTAATTGATCTTTCTAAAAAATAGCAAACCTGACAGCAAGCAGCTTCTCAGAACACAGGGCGGGACTCCTGCGCTGCCTTTTGATTTTTGGGGGCTTCCTAACTCTCCTGGCTTTTTTGCCATATTGATTAGGCTTTACTCATTAATTTTCCCTGATTATTTGAAAATTAGATATCTTAATTTATCCTGCTGATGTGTGTATAGATCTCTATGTGTGTGTATAAATATGTATGTTTATTTAGAAATGTATTGTTGAACACTGAAAATATACAAGAGTAAAAATACAATTGTTCTTATTCTTGCACAGAATTAACAGTTAACATATAGTATTTGTTTGCTTCTACATTTTTACAAAAAAATTACCATTGATTTTATAAAACTAACATATATTCATGATAAAGAATTAAAACAAGGCAGAAAAGTATTTTTAAAAATGGACATTTTAAAAACATTCAACCACCCCCAAATGACCAGCATTCACATCGGTCTGGCAGTGCGGACATGCATGTGGGCCGGCCAGGCGGCAGGAAGGTGGGCTAGACAGAGGCACAGGTTTAGATACGCTGTTACTAAGTGGCATTATATTGCAAATGCTACTTCTAATTTTTAAAGCTTTAGTTGTAGTTTTCTTTACTTTTTAAAAAATGAAGTGGACTTCTTGAACTTCAAGTAGATATTACTCCACCACAAAAGATTTCTTTCTTAAAGAAGGCTCTGAGTCGAGTCAAGGTTATGACAACTCATTTAGGAGGCTGGCATCACTGGACTACTTTTAGAGGACATCTGTTGTGTCTGTGACTTGAAAGACAACTGTTAGCACTCTCAAACTTTGCTCCATCTCCTGTCCCCTTTTTCTTTATGCTGTCCAGACTACTGCTGTCGCCATAATTCCCAGTTGTTTAGTAGTTCTGTGTTTTAATAGATTCTACACTCACCCGTAGTGAATATAAGCATAGCTTCTCCATTCCTGAGCCACTTATTTCTATTACTCTCTTAATTAGTGCCATTTCTTTACCTAGCAGTGTTTTCAAGGAGGGTTCAGGGGTGTTTTCACCCCTGAATTCTTCCTTTTTGAGATTGTCTCCTCGTGTCCTTCTAACTTGAATGACAGTGGGTGTCATATTCTTGGGTTTGTCTTCTTCCCCTCAGAAGAAGTTTCATCAGCCCTGCTCCATTGTTCTCAAGTGTTGATGATGAGGCCAACCTGGTATTTCTTCTCCTTGTAAGCACTTTGTTTCTTCTGCCCAGGTGCCTGGACAAAGTTTGTCCTTGAGATCAATGTCTTAACAAGGCCGTGTCTTTGTGTTGGGAATTCCATATCAAAATTTCCTGGAATACGACATACTTAGATTTCTTTGTATTTCAGGGAACTCTCCTGCATGGGATTCTTCCTCCATCCCCTTTGTTGGGTTCTGCTACCTTGGGAGCACTTGTTCTTCGTGCTGGAGCATCTCTGTCTTCCATATCTACTAGTTTCTCTCAAATTGCTTTCATCTGTATTATCACCGATCTTTCTCCTAGGACAGTCATCCCATTTGGCAGCATCCACTCTGTTCCCACTATTTCTAATTTATTCATTTGCTCTGATTTTATAGAGTTTGGGTTCTCAATTTGTTTATCTAAGCCTGGTTCTCTCTTTTCATCTTAGTCTGTTATTTACTATTTCATCTTTGAGTTTTGTTTTAATAAATGCCTGTTCTTATTAAGTCATCGTACAGCTTGAGGCCACTGAGAAGTTGCCTTCTGTTTCTTGAGTTTTTTGTTCAAGGAGGTGTCATAGGTAGGGCGCCTTAGATCAACACCTGTGGAAGGGAAGGGACAAAGGGAGAGAGGGTCTGGGTTGTTTGTGTATCGTTTCTTTTCATCTTGCTCTTGCAAGTCAGTTTTAGTCAGACTTTCTAATTTGGTGGGGTGTGGGGTTTCATTTACTCTTTGGTTCTTTTCCCACTAACTTTGACCCTACTTCCTTCTCCTCCAAAATTAGTGTAAGGTCTGGGTTTTGGTGTCCCATCCACTCTTCTGAAGTCCAAGGTTGTTGTAATACCCTTGTTGGCTATCTCTCTTGAAGGACTGCAAAGTGTCCTACGTGGGTGGGCTTCATTCCCCCTGGCTGGGGCTGGAAGTGATGAGCATCGAGCCCATGGGGACACCCCCTGGAGGACTAGACTGCATAGTCCCAGAACCTTCACTTGCAGGGAGTCAGCCTCTGAACTTCCTCCCACTAGCAGTCACGTTCACTGCTCCTCTGCCAGAAGAGGAAAATGATAGGGTTGCCCTCAATTTTCTTCTCTCAGGATTTGGGAATATTAGGGAGCATTATCAGGAATGTGATGACTTGCCAGAGCTGGAAGTTGGAGGGCAGGACTAGGAGCTGACCCTTGCTGACCATCCTGTTCAGCTCCAGATTATGTGATTTATTTTCTTGATCAACAGTTTTAGTTTCTGCTTTAAATTATGCTCCTTTCCTTGTTTCAGTAATGTGAACATTTGGGGGCTGGTATTTTTGAATTCATTTTTGCTAATTGTTAGGTATTAGAGAGGGTGATTTTGAGGGACATTTCAATCTGCCATCTCCACCCAGATCACAACAGAATCTGTATTTCCTCATCAATGTCAAGAATGAAACAATAACAAATGACTCCCCTTGCAAAAGAGAGACTTGTAGTACACACCCATTGCTTTCCTCCAGGTTTTCAACATCCCCATTTTTGTAGATATTATCTGAGATTGATGTTTATATTTTCTATCTTTCTTTTCAACAATTACTTTTAATATTTACATTAAGTTGTATGACCATTTTAACAATTTCACCCAAACACTACATTTTATTGGCTTTATAGTTTACCATCATTTCTTTGCTATCACATCATCTCTTCTCCCTTCTCAGTTGGTGGGAATATTTCCATAAGTAATTTTTTTCCAGAAAGATACATGAGTGGAAAACTACTCGATCCTGGTATGGCTGGGAATGCCTTCCTGTGTTTATGTCACATGGTCAACAACTTGGATGAGTGGAGAATTCCTGGGTTACAATGTTTTCCCCTTTATAACCTTAGATATTACTCTGCAGCTTCTTTCATTAAATGTCATCATCTTCTCCAAGGGCCCCTGGGCTCTTGACCCTTTGTCTCTAGGAAAGGCCTGGATGGGGCTCTCCATTAATTTTGCCTCATTCCTTTGAGCTCTTGTAAGTGGACAACTCAAGTCTTTCTTCAAGTGAGAAGTTTTCTTCTATTATTTCTATATTGATTGCTTCTCCTCTGGAATTCCTATTGTGTGAATTTCTTTCTTATAATCTCTAAACGGTAGTGTATTATTTCCACTGCGTGGTTAAATTCAACACAATCTTATCCATCTCTAATAACCTTCTTCTGCTCTCGTGCTATTCATTTCCATAACTGTTGGCTCCTGTTACATTGATGCAGTGTCATCCTGAATGCCATTGATGGTTTAAGTTTTTGCTTTTTTCTTACTGTCATCCTACGTTTGGTGGCGATATTTCTACAGCTTAGTCGGATTCTTTTGAGCAGCTGCATTATTTAATTTGTCCCATGATTTTTCCCTTTCTCTTTGTTCTCACCAAGGCAGGCCTATATGCGACCAGCTTGAGATGGGTTCTAGTAGGCAGTGGAGTCCCTGATCACAGCTTTCACCTGCATCTTAGGAGGAGAAGGAAATATAGTTTTACTTTTGCCAATTCCAGGTCTCGCTTGTGGGCAGGAAGACTGTCTGGTGGCCCAAGTTTCCCCTTCTTAAATTGCCATGGAACCCTGACTCAGGGGACTCTATACTCGAAGACCCCCTCAACAGCTTTGGCAGCCTGCCCTGGGCCACAGCCCCAACCACCACAGCTGGGAGTTAGGTTTAGTCTCAGGCCCCTTCTCCTCCTCTAGATAGCTTTTCCTCCATAAGGAGCTTCCACTGTAAGCAGCCTTTCCTGCAAACCAGTCACACCTGTGCTCTGTTGTGTGCAAATTGCCTTCAAGCTTCTTGCATGCGAGTACTGTCCTTCCCTGGTTTCCAACTGCAGGGTAGATTTCTTTTCCATTTTTATATTCTTTTGACACTTCAACTGGATGTTGGACGTGAGGCATTGTTATACCTCAAGGTTATGATTTTTCATTTCAGACCAGAAATCTGTCCTCTAATAGCTGTGCTTCTGTCTACACCCTGATTCCCAAAACAAATGGCTTATGTGTTCCAGGGGTACAGGTGAGCAATAATGGCAAGGTTCCTGCAACAGCCTCTTTGTCTTCCCCACAGAGAGCCCGGCGGGCTGTGCTGCCCCTGGAAGAGGAAGGATCAGGGGCTGCGCAATCAGTACCTAATTTCAACAAGAAAGAAGGTAAAGATCTCTCACTTTTTCACCCTTTTCTGGCATACTCGAGACAGGAAGGACCTGTGGTTGGCTCACCCTAACTGCCCTCACTACCATGAAATCTCTCATTTTTCTGCTAGAGTCCAGGACTAGGCCTAAAAAAGGCAAATCAAGGACTCTGCCCTGTGCCAGGAGTTGTGAGGGGAGGGAGGAGAGAAGGCATGGTCTCAGCCCATGACAAGGAGCCAGTTCTCACCTTGTCTGTCCCGCTGTGTGGCCTCCTAGCCTGGGTTGCTTCATCTACACGATGGGATAACCACCTTCTGAGCTGACCACCAGGGCTCTTGTGGGAGCAAGGCTGGGGGAGGACATGAGCATGCTTCGTGCAGTTGACAGTGTTTATGAACAAGTCACTCTCCACCTTGCTCCACAAACACTGAACCCTGCTCCCCCGCAGACCCAGTGCCTGGCACTGGAGTCACAGAGATACATCACCCATGTGTTTTTGGAACTTCTAGCTCAAGTGGTGGAGGCAGTCAGGAAAGTGACAGACCCAAAAGGGAGGGGCAGCTAACAGGCTGGAGTAGCTCAGAGGATGGAGGGTTGAGGAGACAAGGACTGCATGGATGCAGGGGAATTCATGCTGTGTGCAGGCATCCAGGTAGAATTTTGCAGAGCAATGCATTCCAGGGGTAGCAACAAGGAGAGCAAAGGTGTGGAGGGTGGGGCACCTCAGTCACAAGGTCAGGCTGGCGGCATGGCTGCTGGTGAATGCGTGAGAATCTTGGGGCAGACAAGACCAACGCAGGGGCTGGTGGGTCTGTGGGTCACTGGTAACTCCCCATGTTATAGAGTGGAATGAACACTGGTTTTGGAGTCCAACAGACATGATTTTGAACCTCAGCTCTGTGTGACCCTGGGGAAGTCACTTTACCTCTTAGAGTCAATTCCCTCATTAATTTTTTTTAAAGATTTCTTTTTAGAGGGGAAGGGAAGGAGAAAGAGAAGCAGGGAAATATCAATGTGTGGTTGCCTCTCACACACCCCCCACTGGGGACCTTGCCCACAACCCAGGCATGTATCCTCACTGGGAATCAAACTGGTGACCCTTTCTTTGGTTCACAGGCCAGCACTCAATCCACTGAGCCACACCAGCCAGGGCTCAATTTCCTCAGTTATAAATTTAGTTGGTAATCCTTCCCCTTAGCGCAGAGATAAAACTAAATGAGATGATGCCTCGTTGAGCGTCCAGCCTGGTGACAGGGACACAGTAAGCACTCAGTGAGTGCCGCTGCTCTGCCCCTCCCCAGATTCCTGCCAACTGGGCTACGCAGAAGGTCCTTGCCTGGGGATGATCAAGAGGTATTTCTACAATGGCTCGTCCATGGCCTGTGAGACTTTCCAATTCGGCGGCTGTCTGGGCAACGGCAACAACTTCGCCACTGAGAAGGAGTGTCTGCAGACCTGCCGGACTGTGGGTGAGTCCGGGCCCATTGCTTCTACGCAGGCTGCATCTCACAGTGCTGTTCTCCCAACCACCCACCTGCCCATTGGACAAGTAGTTGAGAGAGGATGTTCCAGGGGTGGGATTCCAGGGCAAGTTTCCTGAAGTCAGGAACTGCCATTTGGATGCGGGCAACCCTAGGCAAGTTGTCCCTTATCATGGGCTCCATCAGTTCTGCAGACAAAAGAGAGGGACTCCGTGATCTAGATGAGCAGGGTCCCCTGGTGTAGGTCCATGACTAATGCTGCGTGCCCGCTTCCCACCCCACAGCGGCCTGCAACCTCCCCATAGTCCGTGGCCCCTGCAGAAGCTTCTTCCAGCTCTGGGCATTTGATGCCGTCCAGGGAAAGTGCATCCCCTTTACCTATGGGGGCTGCCAAGGCAACGGCAACAAGTTCTACTCAGAGAAGGAGTGCAAGGAGTACTGCGGCGTCCCTGGCGACGGTAGGAGGCTGTTGGGGTCCAGGTGGGAGAGCCCTGGGGGGTGGGGGCTGGGACAGCGAAGTTCTGGACTCTGTACCAGGTGACTGGCCCACTCACTCTCTGGGCATCAGCTTCCCATCTTTAAAATGGGGCCAAGCCCTAGGCCTTACCCCAGCTTGGATGGGGTACCTGGAGTACCAGGTACAGGCAGAGGGTGTGTAGGGTCATCTGAGGAGTGTGGCAGAACAGGGCTGATGCTGGCACTGCCACCATCAGGCTGGCCACAATGGGCAAATGCCAACTTTAGCCTCAGTTTTCTCTCTGGGACATGGGACAAGACACCTACTTCCCAGACTTCATGGCACCTCGCACAACGACTGCCCAGCTAACGGCAGCTGTTCCTGACGATGACAGTGGCGCTGTGACAGCAGGGCGGGCACGCCTCACAGACACCTTATTTTTACAAACTGAAGGCAAGACCCTCCACCAGCAAAGAGATTGCAACTCACTTTATTGAGATAGTTGCTTTATTATGGTGGCCTGGAACCCAAGGCTCAGTATCTCCGAGGAATGCCTGTTACAGCATTGCAGGGAACAGCAGCCATTTAAGATTACCGTGCCTTATTTCCCCACTGGGAAATGGCATCTGCAGTAAAGCAGAGGAGGCAACAAATCAGATCACCCTCTGGAATGCACTTGGGCTACCGAGTCACTCAGCAAGCAGAAGGTTCTGGCCTCAGGCTCCCACTCAGCCCGAGCTGCCTTTCCTCCTCCAGGAGGTGTGCCTTCCCCTGACCTGCCCCTCCCATGTACCCTGGGGCGAGCCCCACACCTATGCCCTGGGCCTCTGTGTCCACAGGAGATGAGGAGCTGCTGCGCTTCTCCAACTGACCGGTCAGTCGAAGGCCACAGGTCCACGGCCAGAGGATGGCAGGGAAGCTGCGGACCAGTGTCTGTTCCAGGGCCCCACATTGGGCAGGCCGGGCCAAGAGACCTGGGTTCAAATAAAAACCAAATCACAGACTCCTGCAATTAATTCCATGTCCTGACTGTTGGTTGTCACCGGAAGTGTAAGGGGACGGGGAGACAAAGCTGGAGCGGGGCATGAGCGACAGAGCCTCCCCAGGAGTGAAAACTGTGTGTGCTGGGGATGTAATAGAACCATCTTCCAGACGTGAAATTGGCTATGCAAATTATGAAGCATAAATCACAGTTCTATTTGCTTGAAAGTAGTATAAAAGAGGGTTGCTTTGTTTTGGTAAAGCTAGAAAAGAGGGGAAAATGCTGGGTACTTGTTTCTGGGAGAGGTTTGACCAGGTCACCAGCGAGCCAGGGTCAGGATAATTGTACCCGGGGGTGCCCAAGGAGGTCAGTGCCTGAAATAATTCCCATCCTTTGTCCCATGGAACCCCCTCCAACGCTTTACTTCGGCCACAGCTGCGTCCTTAGCACCACCTGCTGGAAACTGAAACGCCTCAGGCCGTTTCCCCACCAGGCCCTAGTTCCCGTCTCCTGGGATCCTCACTCTGCCCTTGCCCTAGAAGGAGAATGATCACCATGTCCTTGACGACCAGCAGGGCCCTGGACCAGAGCCAGCAGCCCTCGGTCTGGCTGGCTTCCCCTCCTCTCAGGACTGGCAGGCAGTCCGAGGGGTTTCAGGCAATGACCTGGCCCAAGAACGCAACTCCAACAGCCTCCAGTTCAGACACGGCGAATATACAAACATCCGATTTATAAACACTTCTTGCGCGCTTCACCCACCCGGAGCCCAGCTGGATGCGGCTGCTGCTGGGAGGCAAGCCCAGCGTGTGTCCCGACCTGGAGAGCTGACCGGGGCAGCAGAAACCCAGGCGGGGCCAGCGCCTCTTCTCCATGGGCTGACCAGGGCTGGGGGCGAATTCAGCCAGGGGTCCTGCCCGCACCATTAGCCCATCTGCTTAAGAGACCCACCAAAAAGGAAGAAGGCAGGACATTCCGCATCCTTTTCAGTGGAGGGGATAAACCCAGAAGGAAGCATTCGGGTGTAGAAAGCTTACACCCCCCTTGGTCAGAACACATAAAGTCCCCCCTCCCTCTGTCTCCTCCGAAGTCTAGAGCGTGGAGAGAGGACTGTCCTGAGACACATCTGGGGTCATGGCCAGGACTGTCTGGGCAGAAGTGCGTGGGGTCCAGGCACAGGGCGGGAGGGTGGGGTGAGAGACAGGCTCCCCAGCCTGGACCTAACAAACGGCACCACGCCTGGCTCCCGTCCACATATGCCTCGCACACCAGAGCCACCCAGGGCAGTGTGGAGGTGCCCCTCTGCAGAGGGCTCTTCTGAAGTGACCTGAAGAACAAATGCTTCAAGCAGAGGGCTCGAGCCACAGGTGTGCTGGGCAGCCACTGGATGGTGTGGGGCTCAGGAGGGGTTTTCCACGGTTCTGAGTTCCCCGCTAAAAAACTGGGCTGGGGTTCTCGATTCTCTAGAAAAGTGATGTAAGTTTCGGCAGTCCTGGGCCTGCACCCTGTCCGCAGCCCGCAGCCCCACCCAGCCCAGAGACACTTGTCTCCATGACACTTACCAAGACCTTCCCCACAAAAACTTCCCTTGGACCCCGACTTTACCCCTCAGGGGTGCAGTAGGGGTGGGAGCACACCCATGACCCCAGGTCCAGAGCCTCGGTGTCCACTGCAGAAGGCCCAGACTGGTCCTCAGCAAGCGGCTGCCCTGAAGACTCTCCTGACCTGAGTGGTCACACTCTTGCCCGACACACAACAGATGTGGCTGGTTAGTGCATGTCCTATTTTAAACTTCCAAACCCACAGGCTGGGCCTTCGGCTGGATGAAGGCTCCGGGCCGGGCCTGGGCCTCATCTGTGATGCTCTGAGGTTGGCCACAGTAGGTGGATTGTGGATTGTCCGCCACAGTAGGACTCTGCCCGGACTTCTGTTTGAGACCAACAGGAACTCCTGGGTTACATGTCAGTGGCTCACTCAGGAATGCCCATGCGGTGTACAGAACAGCAGGAGATGCCCACAGGAGGGCGGTTTGGAGGGCAGGGCTGGTGCCCCGCCCGAGCCCATCTGCGCCTTCTCGAGTGCAACGTGATGGAATTTGTCCCGCTGACCAAGGAACCCTCTCCGAGGAGAGCAGCCTGGGTCTGGTGGGAGACAGGAGGGTGCAGTGAGGCCCTGGGTGCTGGCACCCCATCACCTGGACACCATGAATGGAGTTCTTGCCGCAGCAGGCCTGGTTTAGGAGGGGCTGGCACCCCTCCCTCCCCACTCAGGCCTCCGCTCACCTTCCAGGGGCGTCTTTCGTCTGACGTGCCTTTGGCAGGACCCAGGCAAAGCACTGCGGTGCCCAGGTCTGACATGCGAGGCTCTGGACAAGACCCGCGGGGCGACGAGTCCACCAGGGCGGGTCCCTGCAGTTCACAGGGAGCACACGCGCAGCCGCCATCAGGAACCTGGCAAAGCTGCAGACACTCCTCCCCAGGAAACGGACACCACACACAAGAGGCACAGGAAGGAGCGCCAGGCAAGGTGGGCTCAGACGTGTCCCTCAGGCACTGGGTCTGTGGGACTCAGGTGACGTCCGCCCTTTCTCCCATGGAACGGTGATGCTCCAGGAGCCAGGCCTGTGGGGACCATGCCCCCCCTTGTCCACATCCCGCTGCCCTGTATCAGACACTGGCTGAGCTGCTGCGTCTGGTGCAGGAGGTAGGCGACTCGCTCAGAGGGGTTGGCAACCCCGACCTCAGCGTGCCCCTGGGGAGGGACTCCAGCGGTCACCCCCAGGGAGCCCGCCTCTGGTCCATCTCTACTCACCAGCAGATGCTCCTAACTGGACGTTATGGCCCAGCCCCAAACCCAAGAAATAACACCACACACTGCCATCTTCCTAAAGGTCGTTTTATTGTAAAACCATAAATACAACACTGACATGAAATCATTTAAGCAACTGATCCTCTCTAACCATTAAAAGGGTGTCTTTTTGCCTTGGCATCGGCCGACTGGGAAACAATGTTGCGAGAACTCATGGGGTAGAGGGGTTCTGAATTGTGGGCTGGGGCTTTTGGCGACTTAAGGAACCAAGTGGAACCTTCCTCTTCTCCCTGGGAATGTCCCACTTTTGGACAAGAACGGTTAAAAACAGCAACATTTAAACAGCTCAGTTTTAAATTTTATTACTTTGTAAAAATCTTTCCTTCTTCTGTCCCTTTCCTCCATTTGACATCAGTCAAAGTTTGAAACACCACCAAGATTTGGCTGTAAATGGAGAAACGGTACCCAAACAAAGCAAAATGAAAAACCCAAAGGACAAACAGAAAACCCTTAAATAAACCCTCAAGTTTGGTCTCGGGGGCTCACACGTCACACAAGAACCATCAACTTAACCCCCCCGCAATGACTCCTGGTGGAGTTGTGGGATCCACACTGACGCGGGAGACCGCCAACGACGCCTTCTCTTAATTAACACAGCAAGGGTGACACTAGGTAACTTTTTTTTTTAATACAGTACATGGTACACAGGGTCCCAAGACGGCCCTGCATAAACCCCTCGTGGAGACTTGAGCCAAGCACTGGCTGTTTATAAAAATATTGTGTTGCTACAAAAGTATAAATTAATGCTACCGGTATTAAGAAATATTAAACACATAAAACTTATAAGGATTAAGAAAAATATTCATTAATACCTGTAGAAAACTCTGGCCTAAAAAAGATATTTTTTTGTGTTTGTTTTTTTGTAAATTTTTTTTGTATTTTTTTTTAAGATGACTTTGAGTTTCTTGCACGCGAAGAGAGAGACACAGTCCGATGTGCCTATGGTATTGCCTAGAGATCGTCTTCACTACTGAAAAAGGGTGGGGGTGCACGCACGTGGTCACGGGGCGGGGCTCGGGAGGGAGGGGCACCAAGGCTTTCTCGAGATTTACCTGATGTGAAAGAATCACCGATGGGAAGTTGTGCAGAAAAGAAGGTAGGATCAGAAGAGAACTGAAAATAATTTATACTTTTTAAAAAATATTTCGGCTTCAGGTGGTTGTACAAAATGTTTTCCTGATGCTTGGGATCTGAACGGCCCTGCTGGACGTGCGCCCGGTGGGTCTGAGCCTTCGGCCCCGCAGGTCCCTCTGTCTCCTGGCTGCTGAGTCAGCCCCTTGCCGGTCTACGAGCTCACTCACCGGCTGGGAACCCGGCAGCCCTGGCTGGGCGGCAGGGAGGGCCCCGGGCAGGGGCTGGCTGGCACCTGGGTTGTGGGAGGAATGCCTCCTTCCGGCTGGTCTCAGACCCCAAGGTCTCCGGCCAACCTGGACTTTGGGAAGCGCCACAGGGATCCCAGGCCCCTGAGGCTGCAGTCAAGGCCGGGCTGCGCCCCTGAAAGGAACTTTGGTTTGAAGAGTCAAGGTGCCCAGTGGGACGCATTAGATGGGTAGGACCCTCACGGTACTGATGCTGATGCCCAACTGCAAACCTCGCAGATCCTTCTCAGTATAGGAGTTGAATCTTTAAAGCGACACCGTGGTGATGGCAGTGGGGCCATGAATACACGAACAGGATCTTCACCTTCATCCAGGTGGGAGTGGGTGCCTTCTCACACAGAAACCCCAGGGCCCCTTCTGGGAAAGACTGGCTTCTACCAACTACGATCCTCAGACCCAAACAAAAGTCAAAGAAAAACCACATCATCCTCCAGAAAACCCTGAAAAGGGGAAGCCGGGAGGGAAACATGAGGAGGAAAAACACCGTATCATTGGTTCACCATAACTGGCCTAGCAAACGTTAGCCACAGTGAAGAGGGGGGCGAGCCCCATCCCAATTCTCCCACTGGCCCGGGTGGACACAGGGAGCTGGGGCAGGGCCGAGACAGGAGCCCCCCTCTGCTGTCTCCAGGGGACAGCCTGAGCCTTACTTAGCCTCTGGGTCCTGTCTAAAGCAGCAGCCTGTCTAGGAGCCCTCCTTCAGGTACATCCCAGGGACACTGATGCCAGGCGCTTCCCAACACAAGGGCATAGCTGTGAACCCACTCCAGCTCCAGGGGGCTGGAGGCTGCCCACCGTGCCCTGTGTACTTCCTCTTCCTGCCTCTGCAGGCACACCCCTCATGATGACAACATCCAGGTCCCATCCCCGCCTGGGCCATTTCTCCAGGGCTGCCCTTCTCCATCCCCATCCCGGCTTTGTTTCAAACCTCGCTTGTGAACCTGTGGAGCCCAGAGGGTGCGCGCTGTGTCCTTGACGTCTCCCCAGGTGTCCCCTCTCCAAGGGGCCTTGTCCAAGTCCAGGAGGAAGCAGGTGGCCACCTGCAAGCATGGAGAACTCCGAAAGACAGAAGTTCAGCTTCACAAACGTGCCATGTACCATTTCTCTGGTATTTCTTGAAAGTGCAGGAAAAGACCAACTGAAGGAGAGAACTCCGGCAGCCTCTGGACCTGGTGGAAAGCAAATATTCCTCCCTGGAACTCTGGAGCCCCGTAACTTCCCAATGCGCCATCAAACCCTTTTCCCAGCCAACAGCCACTCCCTGAATGCCAAGCATGAGGCTGTCAGGTGGGCTGGCTGGCCTAGGCACAGGGAAGGCAGAGTGGTGCCAGGCCAGGGGCATCCACCCGAGACACCTAGGATGGCACCACTGTTCTCGGTGGAGCCGAGACCCCTGGGCTGCTCCAAGTTCGAGGGACCACCCACAAGGCATGGTCCTGGGCTTTCGTGGTGAAGCCAACTGATCTCAGATGAGGGGCCAAGCCCCTGCAGGCTCCTCTTGGGTCTGTGCATGACAGAGCGAAGACCTGTTCTGTCCTGGGAATCACATGGCTTGATTAGAGTCGTGTCCAAGTCGGCTGGCCAACACCTGGAGCCACCCAGGATGTGACAGACATGGTTTCTGGTCATCAGCTGCCACGGGCCTGTGGCGGACAGTCCTACAGCAGTCCCCGAAGTAGGAAGCAGAAGACAAAACCCTCCCGTAGGGCCCTGCCAGGCTGAGTGCCTGGAGACGAAGTGGAAGGGTCTACCTCAGTCCTTTGGCTGAAACAGAATTGCAACAAGGTGGATATTGCTGTAAATCAGGGGGCCAGTGTCTGGGCCTGGGAGATCTTTGGGTGGTTAAGCTGCCGGCTGGGCAGGACCTGCGCTACGGGAACTGCCCGCGAGGCACAGTCTTTCCTGTTGGCAACGCGAGTTTCTGGGGAACCAGAGGGTGTGAGAGGCGAATGGCTACCTGCCACCTTGTTACCGCATTGGGCTGAGGCGGCCCCAGGAGACGGCTGTCAGAGGACCCAGTGGCACCGTGCCTGTCCTCGGACACCAAAACCATCTTAAGGACCAAACTGAGGTGGAGTGGAAAAACAGAACAGGAGCTGACACCTATGACTTAAGAGATCTGGAATTCAAGTGAGACTTACTCCAATTTTCACCCTGGAGGGCAGACATCCCACGTTCCAAAGAAGGTTCTAAATGCACATCTGGACTCGGTCTCTGATGGCTTTACGAGAAAAAGAAATGCCTGTTTTCTAACTACCTGGCCCTCAAGCGGGGCGGCACCAGCTTAGCTTAGCTCCAAGCAGAGGGAGGACGGGCTCCAAGGCTGGTCCCACCGACCACACGAAGGGAGCGGCTGGGGTACCTCCCGGTGTGGTTCCAGTGCCTCGCCATGGGCCTGTCCCCAGCAGCAAAGCGAAGCTGGAGGAACCGTTAGCCGTAGGCATCTGTCACTCCCCAGCAAGCCTGCAGCCGCCTTCTGGAAGGCCCCCACAGGCCTGGCCGAGGTCTGCCGATGCACTGTAGGCAGTGACATTAGGTGACTGTCCAGTTGGAATGGAGGCTCCTCTGATGGCGTGACCCCAGCTGGAAATGTTGTAGAGGAAACACGTCTCCTCCCCAGGAGAGGAGCTTCTCCGGGAGAGGAAGTGGAGGGTGGCTGCTGAGACCACGGGGTGCTGGAGAGAACGTGGGAACGGCCCACTCGAATGAATGCGCTGCAGCATGTCCCAGACTCGGAGCGTCGGTTCTCACGAGGCAGAGTGAGCAGGTTGGGCCCCCGGGGACAGTGTTTTCTCACCAACTTCGCTTCCCCACCGGCCGCGGGCCGGGGGGGAGAGGACTGTTGTACAGTGCTTTTTGTAGTCGAGGTATCTCGCAGTTGAGTAATGCCTTATTATTAGGAAGGGATGGTAGAATGTGCCTTTGTGAACAGCCCCCCCGCAGTGGTGGTCTTCCTCAGCCTGAAGCCCGCCGTGTGACCATCTCTGTGCCACAGCCACGGACACCGGCAGGCGTGAGACCACCAGCACTTTATTCACAGAGAGGTGGGGTCCGGGGGTTGATCACTGATCCCGAAGGAACCACCTCTGGGGAAGGGGAGAGGCCGTACCCTCAGCATTTGGACTGAGTGTATGGAAACCAAATTGCTCAAGGAGAGAAAAGCCTAAGGACCTCTTTCACAGCATCAAGTTCAAGTGGCCGGATGCTATTCCACCCTCAAGACATCAATCATTTGGCCCGCAAGGCACCATGCTCAACTATTGTCCTGGAGGGAGGGCTGGGGCTCATGTGGGGGCCCCAGGGCTGCGGGTCATGGAACCGTCGGAACCACCTGGGGTCCTGGGGAGGGAGGGGAGGCCGTGGGTCTGAGGCGTGACAGACGTGAACAGGGATCGACTCGGGAGTCCCTGCAGAGCTGGAAGTGTCAGTGATGCGGCGAGTAGTGTAATGCACTCTGGGTATAGAAATCAGACATTCGCAGTACCAGACGCAGTGAGCCAGGAGGGCGGTGCTTCCTCTCGCACTCAGAACTCCGAAGCCACGTGCTTCCCCGCGGCTTCCCCTGGACCTCACCCCTGCGGAGCCTGTGGCCCCAGCCCCCACTCCTGGTCTCCAAACAGCACAGACTAGTTCATGGTCTTTGCCGTTCAAATACACGGAAACTGGACTGTACAGGGAAGGCTAATAAAAACCTTAGGAGAGAGAATATACCACTGAGATGAGCTAGTTTACAGTGCGACTTGAGGAACAAAAAGGGCAATAAAAAAAAAAATCTTCAACATATAAGTTATAGACATTCAGTGCCTCCTAGCAGAGTCTAAATTAAATTTGAAGGAACAAAACAAACCAAAACGAAACAAAACAAAAAGGTAAAAACTGCTAAAAAGTTAGGAGAAAATATTAAAGAGTGGAGACAGCATTAATACTTCTCTGAAATATGTCTTTTTTTCCCCTCTTACATTAAAAAGCCAAAAGTCAGCTTTCTATTCTTAAAGTCTCCTTTCCTGCTCTGCGGGGAGAGAGAGGTGTTTCTAAGGCGGCCGCCCTGGGACACCCAAGGTGCCCCTGAGGCAGCAGCTCAATGCCCTGAAGGTGAATGAGAACAAAGTCCAGTGCAGAAACCGTCCATCTGATGCAGTCTGGAGAGTGGCAGCTGGGGAGGGGCGGGGCACATTAGGGTGGGAGGGGCCGGGGGCGGGGCCTGAAGGGAAAGGGGGGGGGAACCACAGGGTGAGGGACAGAGAGCGTCAAGTCACTTCAGATCTCAGCTGCCTGAACATGTTGCAACATCAGCGTTCTACCAATCTGCACACCTGAAAACGGAGTCTTAAAAGCCCCTCGCTGAGAAAGGGAGGTGAAGCGTTCTCCCTCTTTCCCAAACACTCAGCTTTCCTGACACGCCCAGTTTAATGCACACACGCCCATGAGCGGGCGTGTGCACCTGCACCAGGGTAGTGTGTGTGCGCGCGCATGTGTGAAGCTTCTGTGGCCATGCCGATGAGCAAAGAGCCCCACGCCGGCACCCACGGTACGTGCGCTTGGACACGCCCGCACAGGGGCACGCGTGTGCACACACATGCACACACACACTGAAAAAAGCACTTAAGTTTCCAGGGGGCATTTATAATGAGGTCCACAGTGTTTAGAACTTAAATTCCTTGTCTTTGTTTGCGACAGTGTTGTGTATTTTTTTTCCCTACCGTTCTCTTCTCTTTTTCTCTTCTTTTGTTCGGAAGTAACGTCTTAAAGCATGTTGGATTTCAGAAACATGAGTTTGTTCATATCTTCTGGACTGAGCAGTCGCCTCCGTTTGATCAGAAGGGCCTGTTCACACATATTCACACACCCGCTCCTGGCCCCCACGGCCGGCACGGCGAGGAGCCAGAAGGCCAGCTTGGCCAGTTTCGTGTGCTTCTGGGTGACGCACGACCAGTACTGGAAGAGATCAGGGGTGGCCTGGAAGAGGGGCTCCTGCAGGTAATCGTACACTTCGTTCTTCCCCAGCCGATCGTCTTCCTGAGCTGTGGGGTTCTCACCAGTGGCGGAGCGGGGCTTCTTGGCGGCGGGTTCAAAGTCAGCCTCCTCGGTCCAGGACTCCTTAACCTCGTTGATGAGCTCGCACACCTTGCCGATGATTTCCTCATGCTGATAGGGCGGGACAGGCCGCAGCTTCTGCTGTGGGTCCAGGATCATGGCCACCTTATGCGCTGGGTGCACCTTGAAGTTCTCCTTGAGGGCTTCCAGGAAGAGGTGGCAGAGCTTGCTGACGGTGCCTGCGTCATTGGCCTTGGCCGTGAACAGCTTCTCCAGCCTGACGTAGGTGGGCAGCACCAGCTGCAGGGTGGGCTGGCTCTCGTTGCTCAGCTCGATGACCGCCTGCTTCACCGGTGTCAGGATGGCCGCCAGGTTGCTGAGCAGGTGCTTGTTGAGGCTCTGGATGAGGTTCATCTTCTTGGCCCTGCTGTAGAACTCACAGATCTGCTCGTAGCGCTCGTGCACCAGCAGCAGCGAGTCGGTGACCGAGTTCCAGCAGGGCGGTGGCGAGGTCTCCTCCAGCGACCCGAAGGTCTCCTTGGCGAGGCCCGTGGAGCCCGCCAGGTCCTCGCACACATTGAGCAGCTCGATGACCTCGTGCATGCTGCGGGCCTGCAGCGTCCGCTTGCTCAGCACGCTCTGCACCACCGAGTTCAAGGCACAGGCTGAGCAGCGCAGGCACATGCCGGCCTTGGAGAAGGCAGACGCGCTCACCCGGCAGTCCGTCACGTACACTGTCCTGATCTCCGACATCACAAACTCGGACAGCACGTTCTGCACCCAGTGGTGCACCAGGTCGCCGCTGTCGCGGATGTCCGCTCCCTTCACACCCAGCACATAGCTCTTGATGTGGTTGCCCTCGGCCTGGTAGGCGGTGAGGATGTAGCAGGAGTCGGGGCCGACACTCTGGGAGTGACAGGTGACGCCGATGCCCAGGCAGGCGTTGCTGCCCAAGGCACACGTCACCTTCACCTTCACCTGGTTGTACATGCGCGGCAGGTGCTTCAGCGCCAGCGTGTTGAAGTTGCCCAGGATCTCAGTGACCGAGAAGGCCCCGTATCGGGCACCACTATCCACCAGCGTCTGGGCCAATTTCAGGAACTCCTTCCCGCTTACCACGCTCAGCGCGCCCAGGTCGGCGCACATCACCCGCAGCAGCCGCTCTGCGATGTTCTGCCGCTCCTTCTCGGGGATCATGCTGTTGGATGTCAAACCAGTGGTCGTGGCTGGCAGAGGACACAAGGAGAGATGGGATTAACCCTGGCATTTGAGGTTCCTTGGCCTGGCAGCAGCCTAATACTCTAAGCATCTAGTATGAGCAATTCTGAACCAACTTCATTTCGTAAGTCTCTCGAGAATAACATTCTATGATTGATTGATTAGTAGTGCCTGCCACGGGCATGGGAATAGAAATGGTGGTATGTGTGCAACATGCTTGCTGCACGTGCCAAACACCTAGACTTTGGAAGTCACCTAGTCTAGCCATTTCCTTCTTATAGCAATGGCCTCGAATAAAGGGATCTCTAGTGAATAAACCATGTGATGCCACAATGTCAGGCAGGAGCAGGCAAAAGACACTGTGAGAGCGGATTCCAGTTCTGATTCTGTCACTACTCTGCGCTCGGCCCACAAACGGGTCATCTCCTCTCCCCGGGCCTCCTCTGCCCATCCCACAAGGTCGTAATTCACACCAGCGGGGTCGCAGGTGTGAACACCCTTTGGAAGCTGTTACACGTGGTCTTCCGTCACCATAGGAGGCACAGAGGGTGGGATGAGGGGCGGAAGGAACACGCAGAGCAGGGTCTGCGGGTGCGTGGGGCAGGCTTGGGAGAGACCTACCGTTGTTGGCGCTGTTCCTCTGGGCCTGGGGTTTCCACTTCTCCTCCACGACAGCGGGGGGCGACCGGGACTGGTTGGAGGCGATGTTGTTCTCGTTGTCCGCTGCGGGCACAACGGGGAGAGTACGTCACCCTAAGGTGTGAGAGGCCTGCGGGCGGCCGGACGAGAGCTGGAGCGTGGTGGTGGGTGACGGCACACGTGGCCTCTGGGACTGAGGCCCGGCTCCAGATCCTGGAGCTCCTCCTCACACACGGACTTCATGCGTGTGAGGCCTCATTTCCACCAAGGGGAAAAGGAAGCCATCACACAGAAGTTAACACAATTGCTGGCAGGCCTAACAGGAGATAAAGAGGGAAAGAGCAGAGCACAGGGCCCAGGGGGACGCAGAGCTGGATTAAAGGCTGTCTCCCTGGGAGGGACCCAGGCAGGCAGGAGGCGGCGGCTGTTCCTGGCAGGGGATGGAGAAAGAGGAGCCAGCTCTTGTCCGGTCTCAGCCTAGAATGTGCCACAGCCCCGACTACATCACGCATCATCTCCAGAACCCGCAGCCAGCCTGCAGAGAGTGCTGGTCAGCCCCCTTTACAGGCGAGAGGACTCGGGCCCTGAGACAGAAAGTGGTTCTGAGAGCTTAGAAATCAGGTGTGGCCTTTCCGAAGTCCTCAAACTGCAAATGCCCACCTGTCTGCTGCCTGGGGGTCCCCATGCCTCTTAGTGGGGGTCCTGGGAAAGTCCCCACGCCTCTCCTGGCTGAGGTCCTCCTCAGTGTCCCTTTAAAAGGGCCTGGGAGGAATGATCTCTGAGGGGACCCCCGCCCTGCCTAGCAGTTTATCCAGCTGAAGAGGGCGGTTATGGAAAGGGTCTCCTGGGTCCTGGCCTAACATCGTGACTGCAAAGTCTTGGGCCAGTTACGCAGCCATTCTGTGCCTCAGTTTCCTTATCTGTAAAGTAAAGCTGATGTGGACACAACTCAGAGGGCCGTTTGAGGATTAAGTGAGCTAATGTGTGTAAGACTTTCAGACTGAATCCGGGCACCAAGGAGGAGCTGCAACCACGTCCACAGTGGTGCTACTCTGTACCAGTGATTCCCTTCCCTGAGCCTCAGTGTCCTCATCTGTACAGTGGGATGATGTCAGCTCGCTGACGGGCCCGTTCAGGGGGTCGGATGGGATAACCACATCTGGCACAGACTACTTGCTCTCCGAAGGCTGGCGGTCTCCGCATCGTCACTGCCAACACGGCCCCCTGGACTGTTACGAGAGGCGAGACAGGGTTTCCCACAGCACACAGAGGGAGTTTATTAGTGGGAATTACCCTGTGCCAGTCAGTAGCCTCTTAATGAGATTGGTGTTACTCGAGGCTGATCCCCTTATCAGCAGCGCTGTGCACTGCGCAGATCATGACGTTTAATTTCTCTGTATGGAGTCAATCCTTTAATCCCGACTCATCCGGGCTGGGCATCAGCCTGGCTCCGCGCTGGATTGCCTCCCGTATTCTCTGCCTGCACTGGACCAGAACAAAGCAGCCCAAAGCCCTTCGTGGAAAACAAGGGGAGATGCTGGGGAGGTGGGGCCACCAGGAGGTGCAGCCTTCATTTGCATTTTAATGGCCTCTGCCCAACTGCCTGAGGGATGTGGAAGCCCAGGCACCCAGATGCTTCCCTAATTGGCCTCAGCTTCCCTATGCTGGCTGGTGGAGCAGCAGGTGCAGGGCTGGGGTTTTGGAGGAGGCAAGAGGGAGCTGGGGTGTGGGCGTCTCTGGCAGCAGTCCCTGACCAGCCAGCCTTCCACCTGCTGACACGCCGCCTCATGAGGTCAAATCTAAGTGTCCCGTGCTGGCACTCCAGGCCTTTGCTGGTGCAGGAGGGTTGCTGGCAAAGGCGAGTGGGTGGTTCGGTACATGAAAAGGAATCCTCGGGTGTGAGGAGGGCGGCTGGAGATGGCAGGCTTATGTGCTCTGGTGTTAGTGATGGAGACGCTCAGAGAAGGGGGACAAAGTTTCCTGCCCGTGGCCACAGGCCATGGAGGCTCACCAGAGCACGGGGCTCCAGTCTTGGCTGCCATCCAACTCCGTCCTGATTTGAACAAGTCCATTAGAAAATAAATAACAGGCTTCCCAAAGCCATGTGAATTGGTGCCTAGTGTACATCAGACACCCAATAAATACATGCTGAATGAATGACCAGATGAATGAATGGATGAAAAATGAGTGCAGAGAGGTTACACTAATAGAACAGCACCTAGCCTGAAAGAGACCCTAGTGCTGTACTACTCTGTGCTAGTCAACTGTGTGAGATTTGTAGACCGAAAAGAGTTACAGGCAATAATAATCAAAGCAGCAGGGACAACAGCAGCTACCACTACTGAATTCATTTCCAGCAGCTACCACTACCACCATTCATTTCCAGTGCCTCCAGGGACTACTGAGGGAGGGTGCCAGGGGCAGCTAGCTGCCTCCCCCAGATTCCTGTTTCCCTTCCCTGGGTAGTGGCTCTGGGCATTGTTCCTGCCCCTGGAACTTGAGCAACTGAGACACGTGTCACTTGTCATTTAAAGTGGTAAAGAGGAAAGCGTGCTTCTCTCCCTGCACACTGGTTACAGGGAGAGGGTTCTGACGACCCAGGGGAGGGAGGAGCCACACCAGGAAGGAGCCTGGGTCCCTGATTCGCCAGGTGGAAGGCCACCCAGCCGGGCCACTCGTGCTAGGCGGTGATGCGGCTGAGAAATACGTGTTTATGGCAAACACTGGGAATTGGGCATTCATCTGTTATAGCAAATAGCATCTCCCTGGCTAACACAGAAATTAGACTAGCCATGGGGTGCTACTGTGACGAAACCCCCAAATCAGAGGTATGGGTTTGAAGGCAGGGTGGCCCAGAGTGAGGGCGTTCACACTGCAAGCTGAAGAGATGGCAGAACAGCATATACAAAGGCGGTCTGGACAGTGAACTGCGCCCTCTGGCTCCGCAGCAGCGGCTCTCCAAGCTTGGCCCCTGGGCTAGGGCAGCGGCGCAGCTGAGGGCTCTTCAGAAAGGCAAGTCCTGCCGCCCTAGACCAGATGTATGGCATCCAAAGGTCGGGCCGGGGCGTAGACACCTGTGCTTTCCCCGGCCCTCCTGGCTGGTGACTGACACCTCTGTGCCAAGACGGGGCTCGGGCCTCCCCGCTCACCCTCCCGCCTCTGCTCACCCTGGTCTCAGACCATGATGCTCCGTGTGCCCCTTTGGGTCTCTTTCCCGGTCAGCTCCTCTTTGGCCTTTGGGCTCAAGCCAGGAGCCACGACCTCCCAGAGGCCTTCTTCAGCTCCGGGCCCACTCTCTGTGCTCCCTGCGAGGCCGCTGTCCCCCCAGAGCACACAGAGACCCCACCTCGTGTTATAGTGGATTGACCAGGGCTCCCTGAGGACAGATCCCGTGTCCTGTGAGCTTTCCCTGGGAAGGGGTGGCCTTCCCCGGGGCCCTCAGGCTGGCTCTGCCACCTCTGCCTTTCGCAGGGCGGAGGCGGGGCGGGGCGGGCTGCCGGCTCTCACCTGCGTGGGACTGCATGTGCTCCAGCAGGTTGTTGTAGAACTGGAACTGGATCCCGCAGGCGCCGCATGTGTAGGGTTCTGCGGGGAGAGAGGAAGTCGCCGTCTGAGAGGCAGAACCACCCCGGACGCCTTCCCTGCTGGGCTGCGGGCAGACTTGGAACTGGGAACCCACATACACACTGGGGCACTGGGCCCAGCCTGACATGCCCCTGTCCCTGACTAGTGAGGGGGGCGGCTCGGGGCAGGACGGATTGGATCGATGGAGAGAGGGGGACGTGCAGATACAGAGACCGTCTAACGCAGTCAGGCAGCCATTTATTGAGTGCTTACTGTGTGCCAGGCACTGTTCTGGGCAGTGGGGATGGGCTGGAGGAGGGACCGGGCGCCCCCTCGGGCAGAGACCGTGTCTTACGGGTTCCACAGCGCATCTGTCTGCCTGTGGAAGCACACGGACGTCACTGTTCGCTGAGGGAACCCATGAATGGGTGAATGAACTAAAAACAAGGCGGTGGACGCAGAGGAAAGGCAGGGAAGAAGAAAGGAGAGGACAGAGTCAGACGTGGAGGAAGCCACAGAAAGCAAGATGGAGGATAAGATGCGGAGAAGAGGAGAGGCGGAGAGTGGAGGGCGGAGGGCAGGGAGGATCGGAGCATACAGGAACAGGAGTGAGGGCGCCCGTGGGCCTTGACCTCTCGTCTCTGTCCCCGGTACGTGACTGAGTGCCCAGCAGAGATGAGGAAGGAGAGGGGTGCACAGGAGAAAAAGGCAGAGAGAGGAAGAGGACGGCTGACGCGGGGCTCAGAGGCGGTCTCCTGAGGCTGCTGTGGTGAGCAGGAGCTGGGAGGTCTGTGTTCCTGCCAGGGCCAAGGGCAGAGGCAGGCTGCCACCGGCAGGGCTCGGCCTCGCCCCCCATCCAAACTCCTCCACCCGCCCGCGCCGGACCCTCCTCCTGCCCTGCCTGCCTGGGAGGGCGGCCCAAGGTCAGATGCTCTGGGGAGGCCCTGAGAGCAGGTGGTCACTGAGTTCACTCCCTGCCCTGCCTCGCCCTCTCCAGCCCCCCGGTGGGACCGCCACTTACTCTGTAGGAGAGGGAAAGTATTGGAAATCAGGGGACTTGCAGTTTCTGCAAAAGAGAAACAGTTTAGCTAAGTCTCTTCCAGCTCTGGTGCTCTGAGATGACTGTCACTGCTTCCGTGTTTAGTAAGTGGTGAGCCAGATGGGGCCCTCTGAGGACGGGGGCACCTGAGCCAGGCTCACAGCCGGGGGAGGGGGAAGGGTGCTGGGACATGGGGCTGAGCAAGATCTGCCAGGGCCACTCCTCTAGGACACACTCAACTCTCCAAACCTGAGCCCACAGAGTCTAATGAGAAATGGCCACGTGGGGTGGGGGCTGCCTGCTTCAGGACAGGAAGCTACTTCTAGGTCCTGGCACTGAACGGGGGTGTCTGGCACCCAACAGCAGGGCAGCCCCAGTGAGGGCTGTGCTTCTGAGGGCTTCTGCCTGCCGGGACGTCCCCCACGTTCCTGGTGGTGTCGGAGAGCCTCAGCAGGAGGCAGCAGAGGGGCTGGATGGACGAGGCTGGAATTCTGGCTCCACCAGGTACAAGCTGGGGACCTGGGCCCACAAGCCACTGCTCCTGAGCCTTTTTCCTCATCCAGAAAGTAAACACAACACTGACCCGACCCTCCTCCCGGGGCTGGGGTAAAAATGAAAACAGGTAAGACACAAACAGTTCTGAACACGTGCCAGGCACATAGTAAGCGCTCAGTAAGTGGTGGCTGCCCTCTACACTGGGGTTCCCGATTCTGAGTATCAGCTCTGGGGGGAGGAGGGGCGGGGGGTGCAGCCTGGCTGGCTGGGCAAAGGCTCCGGGAGACCGCAGTTCCAGTCCTGCTGCTGCTCGTTCCCGTGTGGCCTGGGGCACAGCTCCTCTTGGGGATGCTGCTGGGGTACGTTTCTCAGAAGCGTGAAGGAGCTTGGAAAAGTCAGTGTGCTCTCTCCAGTTTAAGGGATCATGTCAGCTTTCTTGGGGCTCCACAGCACACCTCACTCCCTTGCTCAGGGCACCCATCAAACCACTTGATTTACTTTAAAAAAAAAAAAAAGAGAAGAAAAGAAACATGCCACCACATGAGTGGTACGTAATCTGTGCGGGACACTCCCCGAATGTCCGCCAGTGCAGGGCCAGGTTCGCTGCCCCCACTCTGCAGCGGAGGAGGAATGACAAGGCTGGCCCACGTCGCCAGCTCACAGGCGGCAGAGCTGAGGTCGGAACCTCGGCTGCAGGTGGAAGCTGCAGCTCCCATTCTTGCACAGAAGCCTCCCCATTCAGGTCTGTGCTTCCGACTGTTTCATAAACCCCTGATGGACATTCAGGCTGTGTCCATCCCTTGTCTAGACCCAAGCAGGGCCCAGGACAGGCCGGCACAAGCTGAAGCCTACTATAACGTATGAAACTTCAACTATGTAAGAGTGTGTGTGTTACTTTAATATGGCCGGTGTCAGAATTCTTTTCCCTTCCTGCCCTGGCTGTCACTGTGCAGACCACCTTGCTGAGCCTTTCTCGGACAAAGGCTGCTGGTGACCACCTATGGACCCGCCAGGCTGATCTAGCTCTGTTTGGGGAGAGTGGCCTTCGGCTGCTCTGTTCTAATGCACTCACAGCCTTGCTTGGGTCACAGGCAGGCAGCCACCAGGGGGCGCCAAAACACCACCATGAACCTCAGGCAAACCTTCGCCTGGTGGAGGCTGGAAGGGAACCCTTGGATGGCCCCTGGTGCAAAGCGGGGGCCAGAACTCAGGGCCTCAGGCTATTAGGCCACTGCTCTCTCTACTGAACCCCCTTTGCCCTTCCTGGAACAAAACTGGCTACAATATTTACACTAAAAACATAGAAATGGCTCTTTTGGGCCCAAGACCATGTGAGCAGATGTTGCAGACCATGGGGAAGGGGAGTTCCTCTCTCCGTGGGGAAGAGACAAGGAGGGGCCACAGTCCTCGGCAGGCCCCTGAGGCCCGGAGGGATGTCCCTGGAAGAAAAGGCCCCTGGGAGGCTTCTGCCCAGCCCTGGCCTCCTCCCAACACCACCACCGTGCCCCGAGGAGACCCCCAGCCCACAGAGCGCCTGCCGCCGCCACTGCGGGTGGGAGCAGATGGTGACAGCGGCCTCTCCGCACAGGACACCTGTCACGGGGCACACTCACCGCTGGAGTTTTGGGAACTGCTATTCGTCTCTTCAAAGTGGTTTTGTGCTTTGCTTTCTACTCTCCGACTGAAAGCGCTTTCTGCTGGTTGGGGACAGGAGAGAGCGAGAGAGAACGAGGGTGACTGACCAGCACCAGGTTCAAAGGTGGGGGCAGCAGGCCAGAGGCTGCTCTGAGGCTGAGGCACCTGGCGCCACTCAACCTCTGGTCTGGGGAGGGCCAGGGCCCTGAACCAGGACTCCCGGCTCCTCAAGCTCAGCTGAGTTGCCCGATACCTTGTGAGGGCCCCAGGAGACCCCTGACAGTGCCCAGAGGGGCGGAGGTCCAGGCATGGGGGATGGATGTGTGGGTGACCTGTCCAGGAGCACACAGATGAAATCCAGCCGAGAGAGCAGGCGGAACATGGGCCTAGGTCACTCACCATTGGCCCGTGGGGAGCCACGTCTGTGACACTGAGGAATTTAGGCCTGCCCCCCACCAGTCCCCATGCCCCATTCTGCTCTCTCAGCCCCACAACAGAGCAGGCAGGTGACAGACCATCTCCTGGCAGAGCTGGGGGTGGAGGGGCCAGACAGCTAGTCCAGCTCCGCATGCCAAGTGGTCCCCGGATGGCAAGGGGGCGCCCTGGAGAGAAGGCAAGCCAGGCAGAGTGGGGGCAGCCCCACGCCCCGGGAGGCCAAGGGAGCAGGTGAGGTCCGACCCGAGTTCACTGGGAAAGGGACTCGCTCCTGAGTGATTTCTCGGGCATCTCCGCTTACAGGTGGCCTCTCCTTAGTGACTTGCCTTCTCCCAGGCACTGCCTGGAAACCGTGGAATGCAGAGATGGCGCCCAACCAGTGGGAAAACACCAGTTTAGTGCCCACCCCTCCCCTAGCTGCAGAAGGTACTGAAACAGAACATCCACGCTAGAAGGGGACTCGGCTTTTCCAAGCAGCTCGTGGCACAATGGGGGCCCTGGACGCTCCGGGAGAAAAGGGCTTCCGGAACAAGCCACTTTGGGATGAGCAGCCGACACAGCCCCCTCGTTAGGGAAACAACTTGCATGAGGGTGTCGAAGGCCCCGAGAAGTTCAACTGAAGAGACACCCATTTCGCTTCTTCCTTTACCCCAGACTTCCCAAATGAATGCAGCCGCTGAAGCCTATTTTTTCATTATCAGATTCCTTAATATCCCTTGAAAAATGGCTATTTCAGGAACCCAATTTGGGAAATGCCCGTCGCCCAGTCCACTGCCCCCATGGCAGCAGGGCAAGCACTAAGCACTGACTGTGGGGGCCGGGGCTCTGGGCGGTCACTGGGGTGGTGGGACAGGACGCCAGAGGGGCTCCCACAGGTCCTGCTCAAAGCCCCACCCCCTCTGCAGCCACGCCTCCTGTTGCCAACTCCTTTTGACCAAGGAGGCCCATACCACCTCTAAGACGACACTGTCTTCCAGCCCTCTCCCCGAAACGTGTCTCCAGAGCACGTGGGCTGAGAGCTGCATGTGTGCTGCCTTCAAGGAGTCATCTTTCAACTGGCCTAGGGGAAAGGGCGGGGGTGCTCATTTACTGAGCACCTACTACATGCCAGGTGCTGTTGCCATGTTCTCCCCCTTAATCCTCCCAATAGCTCTATGAGGTCCATGCTGTCGCTTCCACTTTACAGATGGAAAAAAAAAAAAAGAGGAACGTGAGGTTGGTGGGTTCCTGGGGCTGAACATGCCGTAACCCTCTAAGACGGCACAAGGAGGAGACTCCCTTCTCAAGGCAGACGTTTCCTTTTCCCAAGCGAACCCTTTCTCCATCTTGATCCTCGTGTGTGCGGGGAAAGGCTGGCCCCTCTGCGGAGGGTTTTCATGCAGCCTAACCGACGAACTGGTAGAACTTAGGACCACCGAGGTTATAATTAGTTTCTTGTTCATCGGTTCATAATGCAAATTTTCATCAGCTCTCCCCGCCACAGGCACCTCCGGCCGCAAACCAGTGGGGCTACGCTGCAGGCGGGGTCCCACGCACAGGCCCGCATGCCTGCACAGGAGGGGCTGCCTGCTCCAGCGTGAGGAGGGAGGTGATGACGGGCAGCTCCACCAAGCAGGTTCCTGCTTGCAACCCGGTAAGCCCAGGTGTGAGCCCCCGGCCCCAGATCTTCCAGGTCCCGTAGAGGCAGCTAGAAGCAAGTCCTGCGGCTTGCTGGACGCTTACGCGGGGACACCGAGGTCCAAGAGCTGGCACAGGCCACACAGCCCCTTCCAGGCAGTTCCCTGCAGAAACTACAGATGTGAAGGCTCCCAGAAGGACAGGAGTAAAAAGCAACATCTGAAAGCCACGAGCCCATTATATAGTTGAGCCAACATCGACCACCAGTGAGCCCATGATGATGAGCCATCTGTTTCTAGAAAAATCTAATGGCTATTGGCTCTTCTCAACACAGTACCTGGAAATCCATTACATTCAAGGTCCTTACTCTCCTTCTGGGACATCTAAGCATAATAAGCTTATCTTCAACATTTTCAAGAACCACATCCTTGTGCAACAGTGTCCCCCTGAACCAAAGAGTAACAACAGACACAACTAGTCCCTTGGCTGTGTCCCCAGTCCAGTCGACTGGTTCGCTGAACTCCGTCTGATCACCTGGACGTTTAATGGAGGGCTGTGGGCCACCTGAAAGCAACAGAAAAGCCTGTGGTTCCAGGAGGACCCCACTGGCAGTCTACCCTACACCCCCCACGTCCAGACGTGCAGCCCAAGGCTCGCTCCATTCAGTTATGAATCAGGATTCCTGATAACTGATACTTGGCACATGATGCATCTTATCAGCTTTCCTGGGAGAAATGCGGTGTGGACCTATTACTGCCTGTTCACCCTTCTGGGGTCTGAGCCCCTCTCTGCATGGACCCAGAAACACTGGAGCTTGCACCTGCTGGCTTCCTGCTGGGCTAGGGCTCATGGAGAGATTTCACGGGCAGTGCTCGGTAGAGAGACGCCGAGGGAGCAGAGCTCCAGGTCAGCCACTCTGCTCCCAAGAGAACAGCTCTTGGTAGAAACGTGTTCATAGAGGCTGGGGGATGCAAACTCAGGCCACGGGGTGGCGGGGTCCAGGCAGGTGACATAAATGGATGGACTGGGCTGGATGTGAGACAGACAACAGTGTGACCACGATGAGAAATGACACCTGCCACACGGCTACTGTGTTGGGTAGGCAGGAGGGAGTGGTGGGGACTGTGGAGAATTGGAGAGCACATGCTCTATGGAAGGAGGCAGCTGTGGCTCAGCCCCAAGCCGATTGTTGCCCTGCAGGAACGTGGGCCCTGAACGGCCAGATCTGACTTGTCAATGTCTGCTAGAATCAAGTTTTACACAAAATCTCCTAAGGTTCAAATGTTGGCAAGTAATTAGAAACATTTTTTGAAAACACCGTAGGCCATAACTTGGAAAAAAATATTCTCCTGTTTAAAAAAACCAAGTTTGCAAACCATCTTGTACAGCCCTCTGATTTAGGATAAGAAAACTCAGACTCAGAGAGGTTAGGGGGCTCGTCGTGGTCACGGCCAGCCAGAGGCACAGCCTGGACCCAGATTCGCCCCAGAGAACTATGGGACCCCCACTCTTGCTCTTGCAAAGGAACAATGACCCTGGGCACAGCTGTGGCAGGCAGGTGGAGGGCGGGGAGCAGAGGAACTGTGGGGTGACACAGGCCGTCGGTACCTGCAGTTGCCTTGCTCGCCGGAGATCCCGAATTCGGAGTGCGGAACGTCTGGGTTTGGGTGGCTGGAGGGGTGCGGTGCAAGAGGGTGGAGCATCGGACCACGGAGGCCGAAGCTTTTTTCCCCGACTGGTTCGTCTGGGTCTTCGCGGCCACGAAGCGTGGAGTCGGGGAGACCTCCGGATGTGAGCACTCAGAGCCCGTGTCTGGATCGTCCGGTGGCTCCCACCCGGGGGCGGTACCTGAGAGGGTCACGCTCTCAGTCCCCAAGAGCCCTGGGAGCTGGCCGAGGAAGTGGCCTCTAGTGCCACAGACCCCCCTGCTCCAGGGTTGAAACCTCTCCTCGGTCCACAGAAAACGTCTGGGAGCCTAGGACCTTTCCCAGCTTCTCCTCGAGGGAAGCCCATCCCACAGGTTCTCCTCCCACTGGCCCCAAGGGGTACGGCAGACAGGGGTGCAGAAGCTCCAAGGGGTACAGGCACCCCTCCAGGGGGCACACAACAGTTTGGGGTTGAGCCAGGATGGATTTCCCAGGCTCCTAACTCATTTCACTCCACAGTTTGCACCATCTGCTGGCCTTCTCACAGGGAACATTATCAGGCTAGAATTCCCATCGGAGCTTTCACCAAGAAAGGAAGAGTTTCAGACAGACCTGCTGATGGCTCTTGTAAGAAAAAAAATGAGATATTTGCACATAGGAGATATTTAAAAATAAGAGAACATAGTGGTCCCTCCTTTCCGTAAAGTTCAAAGTTTATCTGAAGCAAAAGTTCAGAGAATATAAGCATCCACAGAAGAGTATTAACCATGCCACCAAGATGGAGAAGAGGCACGGTGGCGGGGTTGTGGGGGGCCCTCCCTGAAACCTCTGCTGGGTGGGAGGGGTAGAGTGAATCTGCAGCACACGGGAATGGCTTCCTCCAAGGCTGGTGGAAGTGAGTGGGAGACGAGACGCAAGGGAGTTTGGGAAACCCGCCTCACGGATTTTAGTCTTCGGAAGAGAAGTGGGGACCTTACATTTCTGGCCCTGGAGGAGCAACTGGTGTAGGACTAGCTCGCCTCCAAATTCACCTGTGAAGCTGGACGAAATACATGAAACGACAGTTTTCAGACCCTGAACAGAAGGAAGGGCAGGACCATGCATCCTGAAAGACGACCTCCCTCGACCTCTACGACCACTCCTGCTCTCTGCCTGGAGAGAGGTCGCGGGCCACAGCCCGGAGGTGAAGCGCAGTGGGGGCTCTTTAACTGCCCTGAATGGAGGAGGCGGTGGTCAGAGTCAGGGCTTCTAAGATGGCCGGAAGCCGCAGGGCAGAATAACACAAAAGAGAGAATCAGACAAAAAACAAAACAAAAAAAACACCACCAACAAAAAAACCCTCCAGAAATGTGCAGAGGCACCCCCTGAAGTCTTTGGCTGAATGCCAAACTGATGTGTGCAGAGAGGCTCTGCACAGCCCGGCTGCTGACAGCCACCGGGGGCCGCACAAGGTCAGAGGATGCGTGAGTTTCTACCTGCCAGAGAGAAGGCGCCGCTGAATAACTTGGGCACTCGGCTGAGACCCAGAAGGGCCGTGCCTTAGGAGGATTATTTTAACCCTAGCTTGAGGACTGCAGTGGGCCCCCCCTTATCCACAGGGGACACATTCCAGGACCCCCAGTGGATAGCAATGAATCTGAGATAATACTATGTTTTTTGCTATGCATACATATTTATGATGAATTTTAATGTTTAAATCAGGCACACTAAGAGAGCAGCAACAAGAATAGTAAAATAGAACGGTTGTCACAGTACACTGTAATAAAGTCTATGTGAATGCACGTGGGGCCATTATTAACACAAGCTGCTCTGGAACAAGCCCTGTGACAATGTGACGGTTGATCTGACAGCCGAGAGGGCTGCTAAGGGCTGGACAGTCACACAGCACGGATGAGCTGGGCCAAAGAGGGGTCCACACTAGGGGAGGGCTGGGGCAGGACAGCACGGGGTTCCATCACACTCCTCGGAACCCTGCACAACCTCCAACGTGTTAATTAATTACTTATTTCTGGAATCTTCTATTTGATATTTCCTTTTTAAAATGATTTTTATTTACTTTTTGGAGACAGAGGAATGGAGGGAGAAAGAAAGAGAAACATCAATGTGCAAGAGAAACATCCATCAGTTGCTTCTTGCATGCCCTGGCAGGAATTGAACTCGCGAACTTTTGGTCCACCAGCGGGCACTCAGTCCACTGAGCCACACCAGCCAGGGCACCATGTAATATTTTTACACCATGACTGACTGTAGGTAACTAAAACTGGAAAGTTAAACTGTGCGTCAGAAGGGGCTCTTATACTCCATACCTGCACCAACACAGCTTAAAAACAAGCCTTTGAAATATCAAGGCAATCTGTATTAACTGCCTGCTAGAGCAAAATTCAACATTTTTCAAAGAAAGATAACAGAACCCAGGCACTCGACAACACTGTATCCACAATGTGCAGCACAGAATAAATACAAATATTCATCCAGTGAAGCAGGAAAATGTGAGTGATATACTAAAGAGGGAAGAAAAACAGTCAACAGAAACGTAAGGAAATGATGACAGGGATAACGGAGTTTGCAGACAAGGACCTCAAAGCAGCCATTATTACAAATACACTCAAAGATTTAAAGGATAACATGAACGTAATGAAGAGAGAAATGATATAAAGAGGAACCAGATGCAAGTTACAGAAATGAGAAATATGACAGTGGAAATGAAAAATTCACTCGATGGATATTGCTGATGAAAAAATGAAGACACCAGAGGAGAAGAGATCAGTGAACTTGCAGACAGGGTGCTTGAAGCGATCCAAAGTGAAACACGGAGGGAAAACGAGGCTGAAACCCTGGACAGAGCTTTAGCTGATCTTAAGCATCATCTGACCATCTAACTTACAAATAAATAAAGTCTCAACAGGAGATGAAAGAGAAATTGGGAGAAGAAAAGTACTTATAGAAATGCCAATGGGAAATTTTCCTTGATGAAAAATTTCAACCCACTGACCCAGGAAGCCCAAGGAACCCCATGCAAGATAACCCCAAAGAAAACTGCACACCCGTAGTCAAATTACTAAAACCAGTAATATATAAGAATATTTAAAATAACCCAGAGAAGAAGATATATTCAGTACAGAGTAACAATAAGAATGACCTTTGATTCCTCACGAGACACAACATACACCAGCGTATAAATGAATGACATGTGTAAGATGCTGGAAAAAAGTCTCAACCCAGAATTTCATATCCAGAGAAGAGGTCCTTCAAACGGTGAAATAATAACATCTTTAGTTAAGAATATCTTTCACCAACAGACCTACAATGTAAGAAATGTTACAGAAAGTTCTTTGGGGAATAAAGGAAAATGATAATAGAGGAAATTAAGGTTTATACAAAGGAAAGTACAGAAAATAGTAAGTATGTGAGTACATATAAAAAGCATTTTCTCATTTCTTAATGACTGTAACAAATAATTGACTGGTGAAAGCCAAAAAGAGTAACCGCTGGGTTTGCAACTTAGACTTCACGTGTGAGCCCACGTGCAGCAGTGCGCCTGCGCGACGGAGCACTTGCTGGTCCAGTGTAAGAGCGGCATGAAGGACGGGGGGAGCAGTGGGAGGCCACGGACTGACAGAAGGTTCTCACACTATGTGTGACGTGCTGTATAAACTCATGGCAGATGGCAATACATTAAGATACACATCATATACCACAGAGCAACCACTAAAGAAAGAGAGGAATAGGCATAAAGCTAAGAGAGGAAAAGTTTTCAACTCTTGATTAACATTAAAGAAGGCAAGACCAAATAAATGAACAAGAAGAAATGAAGCAAACAGAAATACAAGAAAATAGTAAACTTAAATCCACCCATATCACAAAATATACTAAATGTAAATGGATTAAACACTTCATTTATAAGAGGCAGGGATTGCCCTGGCTGGTGTGGCTCCATGGGTTGGGCGTCATCCTGCAAAACTGAAAGGTTGCAGGTTCAATTCCTGGTCAGGGCACATGCCTGGGTTGTGGGCCAGGTTCCCGGTTGGGGGTGTGCAAGAGGCAACCCATCTATGTCTCTCTCCTTCTGGTTTTCCCTCTCTTCCCCTTTCTCTAAAAAATAAAATAAGTAAATAAATAAATAAATTACGTTTTTAAAAGAGTCTTTAAAAGGCAGGGAACATGCCTTTCTTAGGATGAAGGAGTAGAAATCAGCTACATGGATGCACTTCAAGTATAAAAACATATAGATTGAAAGAAAAGAATGAAAAGAGATACACCACACAAACACTAATCCTAAGAAAGCTGCAGTGGCTATACTAATATCAGATAATGTAGATTTCAGACAATGGGTATCACCCAATATATAAAGGGCACTGCACAATTTTAAAAAGATCAATTCATCAAGACGTAACGATCCCAAGTATGTGCACCTAAAAACAAAAGCTACAAAATACATGAATCAGAACCTGGTAGAATTAAAGGGAGAAAGAGCAAATCCACAATGAAAGTTGTAGCTTTTACCTCTCCTCTCTCAGCATTTGACAGAACAAGCCTTTTTTTTTTTAAGCCTAAAAAGGTGAAGAGATTTGAACGGTATTATCCATCATTGCAACCTAACTGACACTGCACTCAGGGAATTCTCTTTTCAACTCCTATAAGGCCCGCAATACCCTGATAGCCAAATTAGACAAGGACATTACCTGCAAAAAGAAGTACACTGCCGGTTAGAATGTAAAATGGCATAACTGCTTTGAAAACAATTTGGCTATTTCTTACAAATTAAACCTACCTACCGTATGATCCAGCCATGCCACTCCCAGGCATTTACCTAAGAGAAATGACAGCACTGGTCCGTACAAAGACACACACTGAAGTGTTCACAGCAGCTGTGTTTGTACCAGCTCCAAACTGCAACAACCCAAATGTCCACCCACACGCGAACACAGGAAATCATGCTATCTGAGGTCGATCCTCAAATAATGTAATTGCATTCAATGTTATTTCATTATAACACTGATGAGATGTAGGAACTTAACTCTCGTTGCATCAACCAGCCAATGGTAGAACTGGTTTATGAAGTTTCACTTAAAATCACAGAACCTATCGACGACATGAAGTGAGGACTTACTGTATGTAGACACTGCTACCACCTATCAGTGAATAGGAATGAAGAACTGATACATGCAAACACGATGAATCTTAAAACAACTGCGGTGAGTGAAAGAAGCCAGATACCCCCTACACCAATGCAAGAGTACACACTGTCAGATTCCATACACGCAATATTCTAGAACACGCAAAGGAATCTACAGTGATAGGAAGCCCATCGAAGCTCGCCTGTGGAGCGGGGCGTGGAGAGCAAGGGATTAGAAAAGGGAGCAAGGCAACTTTTGGGAGTGATAGGTGTGTCCACACTCTTGACTGTAACGATGGTTTTGTGGGTGCACACCGGTCAGAAGTTACCAAACTGTACACTAAGCTTCAAAGAAAGAAGTCATTTTTCTGACAAAAAAAAAAAAAAAAAAAAGAAATGTCCCAACATTGTAACCTTCTTCAGTTTGACTTAGTCTTAATGTGTTTTAATAAAGTAGAGGCATAGTGACTTATTAAGGAAACAAAAATAAATCCATGTAACTCACATTGTCAGAATAAGATAAGAATCATAGAAGCACCTCAATGGATGCAGCAAAACACATGTAACACCAGTCCGTGATACAAACTTTCGGTAAACTAGGAACAGAAGGTAACTTCCTCAGCCGATACAGGGCATCTGTGAAAACCCACTTCAGCGATGGAGACCTGCACTCTGTCTGGGGAACGAGGCAGACATACCCACTCACTTCATCAATGTATCACTTTATTGGGGGATTCTGATCAACACAGGCAGGAAGAAAAAGTAATAAGAATATAGCTTGGAAAGAAATGAAGCTGTCTTTATTAGTAGGATGCATCAGTATGTACAAGGAAAATCCTAAGAATCTACAAAAAAAAAAACTATTAGAACTAATAAGTGAATTTAGCAAAGTCACAGGTTCAATATTCAATATTCAAAAACCCATGATGTTTACATGTACAACAACAACAACTGGAACATGAAAAGTCACAGTAATGTTAAAAACCATGAAATGCTTAGAGGTAATATAATGAAATGTATGCAAGACCTCTATGCTGAAAAGTAGCAACTACTGCTGATAGAAATAAAAAGACATCAATACTTAGATATACCATGTTCATGGACTGGAAAACAGTATTATTATGTCTATTCTCTCCAAAATGGTCTACCGATTCAGTGTAATCCTAAACAAAATCCCAGTTAGATATCTCATAGACAATGGCAGGGAGACTAACATCATAAGGAAAAACTAAGTCCCTAGAATAGACAAATACTCTTTAAAAAGGACAGCACCAAAACCCGGCGAGTGCCTGAGTTAAGACTTACTATCAAACTCCAGCAGGTGAGACCACAGACAAAGAAATCAATGGGACAGAAATAAACACACTTACTTATATATTCAACTGATTTTGAAGGAAGGTCCCAATGCAACATAATGAGGAAAAGGCAATCTTTTCAACAAACGATGTCGGAACAACTAGACATCCATCTGTATGGAATAAAATGGATCTCAACTCATACCTCTCATCAACTCACAACTTGAAGTGGATCACAGACCTAAATGCAAACGCTGAATTTATAAACCTTTACAAGAAAATAAAGGAGAATATCTTCGCCACCTCGAGGAAGGCAAGAATATCCTAGGTAAGACCCAGAAAGCACCAACCACTGGGGAAAAAATAATACATTAGATGTCATCAAAATGAAAGACTGCTCATCAAAAAAGACACTATAAGAAAATCAACAGGCATGCGGAGGACTGGGAGGAAATATTTACAATGTAGGCATCTCATAAAGGACCTGGATCTAGAATATATAAAGTACTTCTACAACTTAATAATAAAAAGCCCAATAACCCAACCAAAAAATGGGCAAAAGATGTGAATAGTTTCCAAAGAAAAATAAACAAATGGCCAATGAACAAATGAAAGTGCTCGACATCATTAGTCCCCAGGGAAACACAAGTGAACGAGAGACGCCACTGCACGCTCCCCAGGACGACTGGGACGCAATAGCCCCCTGCCACCAAACGCTGGCAAGAACGTGGGATCCGTGACTGGTGGGAGGGTGAGATACTCTCCCCTAGGACCCAGCAATTCTACAGCTTGGTATTTATCCAAGAGAAATGAACGCCTATGTCCACACAAAGCCTTGTACAAGCATTTTCATAGCAGTTTCATTCACAACAGCCTAAAACTGGAAACAACTCAAATTAACGAGGAAATGGCCAAACAAACTGGTATTTTTTCAAACAAAGGCTCAGTAATCAAAATGAAGGAGTAACTGATATACATGTAACATGTACGAATCTCAACAACACTCTGCTGAGTGAAAGCCAGACACAAAGGAGTACATCCTATGACTCCATCTGTAAGAACTTCTGCAGGCAGGCCAGGTCCCTCTGGACATTCTCACCACTCCGGGTCTCTCGAGGCCTGGCCCTGGGTACCACCGGAAGCTGTCAAATCTAGCCCCTGATTCCACACAGAATCCACGGACATACAAATCTCTGGATACAAAGGCCACTGGAGGGGCCGTTGGTCAGCCTTGGAGAATCAGTCCTCTTCTGGATCTGGCCTAAATCTCTCGTGTTGTAATTTAAACACAGCTGATCCTAGAGCCCTCAGACTTCAGTGAATAACAGAGAAGAAAGATGTACTCAATAGAGAGAAGCAGAAAGGCACAGAACAAGAGTCCGTAACTGAGAGAAAAAGAAAATGAGGAACAAAGGAACAGTGGACAGCCCTTCAGGAGAAAACCTGGACATTAAGGGAGAAATCTGGGTACATGCAATGCAGCCCCTCGTGCTGTCCCATCTGACACGATGCTGAACAGCTTCGTGGTTAAGAGAATGGCCCTGGATTTTGCCTTTGAAGGTTCAAAGCCAAGCTCCCCCTCTTATTGATTCCACGACTGTACTCAACCAGTTTCAAAAGTTTGGGAGAAGAGCAGAAGCAGCACTGAAGGCACCCTCCAAAGGCTGAAACCATGGTTGCAGGCTGGCCTTGCAACTAACACCAAAGTGCATTCTGGGGAGCATCCTCTCCAGGCAGCAGCACAGGTACCCATGCACGGCTGCCAGTCCCAGCCCATGGAGAGAAGAATCCCCGGAGGGTCCAGGCCATGGAGCTCAAGCCCTGCCACAGCCCTGATGACAGCACTGGCACCATTAGTGGGTCAAGTGGATGGGTCGTGCCCACCAAGCAGAAACTGTGTCCTCTCCCCACTGTCCCTCCCCCGAACATGTGGTGGGAACTGGATGACCCGACCCGTGCATCCCCAGCTTCGATGGCAGGATGGGTCCTCTGGTTTGGCCACACTAGAGGGTTTGGAGATGCCCAGAATCCAGAGCCCTGGGCTGGAAAGACCTCAAGAACTTGCACAGATGGAAACCCAGCAGGTAACTCACCAGTCAGAGGGTGAGTAGGACAAGAAGCCTAACCCAGTTACGGACCTCACACCAAGCTCTCGTCCATGGGAGACCTCCAGCCTCTGCTGCTCTGCCCAGCAGGGAGCTTCCTCAGGAAGCTGCCTGCACTGTCCTCTAAGCTCTGGACACCTTCCTGCCCACCCAAATGCCCCTGGGCAGGGGATGCCACGTGCCTGTGTTATTTTCAGGGCTTCCAAAAGGTCCTGGGCCTCCCAGACTGCAGGCATCTTAATCCCCTGCTGCCCTTGCATAACTCCTTCCTGTTTCTGGACCCAAGTCTCCCAATCCAAAGAGTGTGGAGCGGGTCCACACAGCTCCACCCAGAGAAACAAAAGCAGGGGTACTCCCACATCTGCTCCTAAACATCCGCTCTGCCAAGGGGGTTAAGCTCCGCCCCTGTCGAGACTGTGGTTGAGGACTGAGGGTCCCCTAGCTCATTGTACACTTGGGGTTGAAGGATGGAGCCAGCTCCAGCCTCCAGAAGTGGAGCTGGGAAATCAGCAGCGTCAGGAGGACGGAAAGCCACTGTATCCCTGTGGGAAGGGTCCTTAGAACCTTTTCCCTTCTGGGTCAGGACAGGAGGGAGAGACTGGGGTCCAGAGACAGGGCAGGGCCTGCCCAAGGTCACATGCAAGCCCATGACCTCACTGGGATTAACACCCAGGGCTCTGAGTCCTGATTTAGCACTCCTTCTAGCTTCTTACCCTTCCACCACGAAGGGCAGAGAGGGAGCTTGCCTGTCCAGTTGGCCATCCCTCGCCTGGGTTAGGCTCTGCATGGGTTCAGACCCAGGCTGCACCCCAAGATTCTGGCTTTGGGGGTGAGGATTCAGGAGCATGATTTGGAGGTGCTTAGAGGAGGTGGGGACAGGACCACGGAAGGACCTGGGTGAGTGGTGCCCACACTCTGCATCCACTGAGGGAAGATTCAGTTTTTACTGGCTTAAGGGTGGGGCTTTCCCACCTATTCTAGCTGCTGGAGTTAAGGTGCCCCCCTCCACCAGTCAAAACTGGATACGAGACTGGCCCAAACCAAGCTCACCTTTATTTCCCCCCCACCCCCCGCAGCAACACCCCAGAGCCTGGGCCTGTGGCAGGCCCACCCCTTCCCCAACAACAAAAGGTACTCACTGATGGGGGCGTGTAAGGCCACATGCTCCTGGTAGGGCGTGTAGTACTTGTACTGCTTCCCGCAGAATTCACAGGTGTAATTGCCGGTTTCTGCCCAAGAAGGAAAAGAAAGTGTGGGACTAGGTGCCCAGCTCCCATCCAGAAGCAGCGGCGTGCTCCCTCCCCGCAAACTCCTTCTCATTCTGGGACAACACACTGGAATCGGGAGACCCCACTTGAGTCAACTACGACTTGAGTTCAATTCCCAGCCCTGCCATTTGGAGCTGTGTGACCTTGCGCAAATCTCTTAACCTCTCTGTGCCTCAGTTTTCCTATCTGTAAAACGGGGATAATAATAGGACCACCTTATAGGATTGCTGTGAGGATTAAATTTCTATGTCAAGTGCTTAGAACAGTACCTGGCACACACTGTTCTCTCTCACCGCTCTGCCCCCAGGCCCCAGTGCTCAGGAAACATGCGTTGACCCAAGGTGACCTCCAGTGCTAACCTGTCTGTCAGCCCTTTTGCCCTGCCCTCTGCAACGGCCACACTCGGGTCCCCTCATCTCCAGGACCTTCCCCTGCCCCCAAGCACCCCCCACCCCCCAGCAGAAGAGGTCACTTCTTCCTCTCAGGTCCCACCGGACTTCATTTTTACCTCTCTTTTGGGTCTGCCTAACTTCTTTCTTCTTAAAAATTTCTGATGTAATATTGTTCACTGGGGGAAAATTATAAAATACTGATAAATACAAAATTTAAAAAAAGAAGAGAAATTTCAATCATCTACAATCCCCAAACCAAGAGCGGCAGCTACCCCCTGGGCACACGTGCACCTTGCAACCTACCCCGGGCCCCACCCCTCTCCCCACTACACTGACATCACCCGTCTGGCTGCTGCGGGCCCGGAATCAGCGGCCCTGATCTATATCCACTTTGTAACCTGGTGCATTCAATCGACAATACTTTGTGGACATCTTGCTCAATCAATAAACTTCGATCTCTACTGCATTCATCGGCTGCATGGTTCCCAGTGGACTTCAGAATCTGCTGCACTAGCCTCCTGCACCAGGGGACGTTTAGATTGTTTCCAAAAAATTTCCTTTATATATACATACATATATATACATACATACATATATACATATACATATATATATATATATAAATGCTGTGAGCCACATCCTTGTAGAAGTCTTTGCACATTCGCTCATTATCTTTGCACATCATTGTAAGATAAAGATTAGTGTGCATAATCTTTGCACATCATTTCCCTGGGAGAAATGAAGGGCTATGTATTTTTAAGGCTTTTGATAACCACAGCACCAACCACCTGTCAAAAGGTTGGGCCAATTTTTGTCTTAATCAGAAAGATGTGAAAATGACTGTTTCCATACACTGTAGCGAGTGTTAAGTATTATTATCTTCTTAAACTGTGCCTGATCGGGGAAACCATAACGCACCGCTGGCTTTATTTTCCACCTCTTTGAGTTGTACGGAAATTGACTGTTTCTCGTGCCTAATTGCAGTGTTTCGTTCATGACTTCTCTGTGTTTGCCATAATGTTTCTATAGGTGTACTTACCTTTTTTAAATCACTAAGAACTCTGGAGGTTCGAATACCAATATTTTGTATGTTAGTTATAAGTATTTTTGGTTGAACTGGCTTCTTAATTCTGTTTACAGTTTTTCTCTCTCAATATAGAAGCTTTGAAGCTTCTTTGTCTACTCAGGCGATCCCAGTCTTCACTGCGAACGGCCCTCTCTTGTTTACATCACCCTGCTCTCTGGCACGGTGCTTCGCACTCACAGGGAGGTCCCCGGGCCAGCAGCACCATCACCGCCTGGGAACTGGTTACAGACGCAAATTCTTAGGACTCACGCAAGACGCACTGAAAGAAAAACTCCAGGGATGGGCTCCAGCAACCTGTGTTTTAATAGACCCCTTGGAAAAATTCTGATGCACGGGAAAGTTTGAGAACCACTACTCTAATATATAATTATACAGTTCTGTTAGTTCGCCTGGCATGAATGTCATTAACTCTTGGTAATGACTTTGTCAGAGCCTCCTTTCTGCTTGTTTGCATGTGCCCAAAGACGTCTCCCCCGGATGTCCCTGTCCTTCCGTTCATTGAACGGTACTGTGCTAAATGCTGGCACAAAGTGTTGAGCAAAAAGTCATGGTTCCTGCCATCAAGGCGCTTACAGTCTGGAGAAGGAGACAGAAAACATGAAATAATCGTACAAACATAACTCTGCCACCATGCTGGGTGCTCTTAAAGGAGACGTGGACAGTGCTAAGAAAATTCTACCAGGGAATTCGACTTGGTTAAGGAAGCACCAATGAGCTTCCTCAGAAAGAGAAAAGATAATGAATTAACTAGGTATGCCTCTAATAAGCCAATAATAATTGGATCATTTTAAATTAACCCAAGAATCTTTGTCTTCTAATACAGAAGAGCATGCCATTTCCTTTTCTTGCCATAATTGACTTGGTTCCACTTGTTTGATGATTTTTTTTCCCTTATGTTCCACCCTTCTGGCTTGTCTCCTTGAGCTTTCTGTTGTTTGATGCATAAACTCTTTTCTTTGCCTTTCCATTATTCTCCAATACACTGTCTCAGACAGTATGAATGTTTCCCTAAATGCTATAATCAAGCAGGAAATGATATGCTCATGTCTCTTACCATTGAGAACGGGAGTTTAACTGCATGCTTCTCGGACTCCAGCATGTGTAAGAATCACCTAGAGAGATGGCCACAACACAGGTGGCTGGGCCCCAGCCCAGAGGTTCTGACTCCCCAGGTCTGGCGTGGGCCTTGGGAATTCCCGCTGTGAGTCAGCTTCCAGGAGACGCGGAGGCTGCTGCTCTGGGGACCACGCTGTGAGGAGGACTGCTTTAACCAGCCTTTCCTGGATCCCTCTCAGTGTTTCTCCCTTCTTGCATGTTCAGAACTCCCTTTTAATACTTCAGAATAAGCTCTGCCTTTTGCACTCAATTTGACAATCAGATCTGCAATATTTTAAACTTACTTCTGGTTTACCTGGCTTTGGTATTCACCACAAGTGCTCTCGTACTGTGAATTATTTCTTCATAATTGAGCCCTTAAGTGTGCTCTACCACTCAGTTCCCTGGAGCATAACTTCAAATAATTTCTTGAAGATGAGTACACAGGAGATACGGTATGTTTTTGAGTCCCGGCTTTTTCTCTTTACACACAAATCACAGTTTGTCTAGATATAAAATTCTTAGATCACAACCTCTTCCCTTCAAAACTATTTCATTGCAAAAACAAAAAACAAAAAACTACTTCATTACCTTTGCCATTTCGTACTGCAGAGAAGACTGAGGCATATTCACAATATCCATCGTGAATTCATTTGTACGTAACTTGCTTTGTTTTATTTCTAAATGGCCACGTGCTTTTTTTCTTTATATTTATGGCTTTGAAAAATCACCAAAATCTGTTTAGTCACAGGTCTCTTTACATTCTCTCTACCTGAGCTACGATGGGCCCTTAAACCTACACACACAGACCTTCCTTCAGAGGAGCAAAGTTTTCTTCTAATGTATCTATGACGTGCTGCTGGTGCATCACCCACAGTCCTGGAACTGCTTCCCCATTCTCCGTACTTATCACGATTTCTCCCTACCATCTCACCTGTTCCCATCTGCCCTTCACATCATCCATTCCATCTCAACAGATGGACGCTGCTCTTTACTGCCTACAACGGAAGTCTTAGTTCTGTTCTTATATTTCCCGCTTCTCTGCAATCCTTCCTCGTCTCGTGCCTCCTTCTGCCTTTTCGTCTTATCCTGTTGCTTTTTTTTACCACACAACTCCAGGCTCCTTTTTCACAGGGTTCATGCTACGGGCTGAACTGTGTCCCCCATAAATTCACATGTTGATGCCCTGCCTCCCAATGGGATGGTATGTGGCCGAAGAGTGATCTCCACAGAACCCAACCATAACCGGCACCCTGACATTGGACTACCAGCCTCCAGAACTGTGAGAAAACAAATCGCTGTTAAGCCACCCATTGTTAAGGCAGCCCAAGTGGACTAAGACAGGGCACAGAATCCACTGTGGCTGTCAAACTGAGTGTTCTTCCAGATTTTGCGGTAGACCATTTTCAGAGGTATGCTCTTCCCCCGAGTCTCCTGAGTTCTCTTTGTCTTGTTATGTGGAATTTCATAGTTCCCATGGCTTGTTTTTTTAATTTATTGTTCAAGTGAGTCTTCCTGATCCACGTGTAAAAATCAAGTAACCTATACATGAATCCAGGCTTACTCTGTTTCAGCAGACATGAATGAGCTGCTCTGAATCTTCCCATTATCATGGTAGGCCATCACGGTAATAATTCGCAGATCAGCAGCTGGGCAGCAAGCTGCCACACAGGACCCCTTAGACCAGCTCCTTCTGGCAAGACTCCTCTGCTCCTTCATGCCTTGGGCTTCCTCCTCAAGTCCCTAATTCTCTAATTTGTTCAGCTGCTGTGAATGCAGAAGGCATATTTCCCAGCATGCACTACGACCAGGTTGTTTTCCTCTTCCCCCACCTATAATTACTACTTGTGGCAACCAGTCCTGGCACAGTGTACCTACGGTCCCTCTGCTGGCTCCTCCTATTCCACACCTTATTTTTATAGTTCTGTGGCACTGGCCTACTCAAAGAAGTGGCAGGAACCCAGGAAGCAGCATTCTTCTCTTGCAAGGCAGCTCCAGAGTGGTAACAAGGGGCGGCCTCACACTATTCTAGCAGCCTCACTTCCATAGCGTCAAGCTTAATTTTCTCAACACAATTCCCTCCTCCACGTCATTGGTGATAATTCCTCCCAGATCCTAGCATGGGTTGTCTGTAAGGCTTAGTTACCGACACACAGAACAAGTTTCATCTTGTTCTGCGCCTTTCAGGGTAATTAATAGGCACCACTTATTAAATTTAATGCTTCCATGTAAGCATCACAGACTAATTCCTTTATAAACATAATCTCCGCTCATCTCCATGACAATCCCGAGGGGTGTTTTATTGTCATCACCCCGTCTCTGAATTCAGGAAATGGTGGATCAGAGCGATTACAGAACGTGCAGGATGTCACGCGGGGATTAGGTGCGATAAGCTGGGATTCACGTCTGGGGTGGTTCTAAAGCTCCCGTTCTCCTCCATCTCTTGGCAGCGCCGCTCCTTCGTGACGCCCCAAACACGAGCCAGGTGCTGGCTGACACTTCACGCACTCATCCTGCAGAACGGACGGGCGTTCTTGTGCCCGACTTACAGATGGGTCACAGGACACTCAGAGAGCATCAGCAGCCAGTGAGCCTGTGGCGCCAGCATTCGAACCCGAGCCTGCTGGACTCCGAAGCTGATGTCCACGGTTACAGCGCTAGGTAAGGAATGGACGGGCAGTGCTGGGCCGAGGCTCCCTGTCCTGATCTGCCTACAACTGTCCGTCACGGGACGTGTCTGACGCAGATCAGGGTGTTCTCACAGTCTACCTCCTGGCAGTTTTCGTGTTGAGGATTTCCTCATTTTCTTTATCTTCAAGATAATTTTAATGTTACTGTTTATTGAATGTTTACTATGCATATCACAAGCAGTGTGCTAATCACTTTACAGGTATTATTAGATCTGCGGTTTTCTGAGTGCTTTAAGAGTAAAAAGCAAGCAGAAAGTCATCCCCCATGAGGAAAGAGGAACAAGAGGCACAGGTACATGGAGCAGACCTACGTCTGTCAGAGGGAGCAGAGGTGGGGGACCGGATGACAAAAGGGGAAGGGAGAGAACAAGAACACATAGGCATGGCCCCAGGGCATGGGCAATGGGTGGGGACTGCCTGCGGGGGTCAGGCTGGGTGGAGGTGGGCAAAGGGGGAAAAGTGGGGACAACTGTAATAGCAGCAGCAATGACAACAACGACAACAACAACAATAACAACAAAGAAAAAAAAAGGAATTCAGGGACCCAGCCAGTGCCTTCCGAGGGCCTGGGACCAAGCTCCATCCCGAGGTGCATCTCAGGCTTCCCCTGTTGCGCTTCCTCGATTTCTTTTCTGTCAGAGTTCCACATCCTTTCGTTCTCTGTGTGTGTGTGTGTGTGTGTGTGTGTGTGTGTGTGTTTTCACAAGCTGCCTTAACCCTTACTGTGATAAGGCAGAGTCAGTAAAGGTCTTTCACAGGGCAGAGAGGCACAGGACAGAGAGGAAGAAGCAAGAATGTACATTTCTGAAGGACTGGACCAGATGAGACCACATGTGAGATGCTCCCCTCCACCCACAAATGGTCTTCCAAAAATGCAAATCACATTACGTTCCTTCCCCATTTAGTGCGCTCTTCCTGGGTCAGCTTGTTCTACTTGGGATTCAGTCTTGATAACTGCCCAGCATTCGAGGCTCTCTAAAACCTGAACTCAGAATCAACTTGCCTTTCCTTGGCCAGTGTGGCTCAGAGGACTGAGCACCAGCCTGCGAACCAAAAAGTCACGGGTTTGATTCCCAGTCTAGGGTACATGCCTGGGTTTTGGGCCAGGCTGCCAGTAGGGGGCATGCAAGAGGCAACTACACAATTGATGTATGTTTCTCTCCCTCTTTTTCTTCTCTCTCCCCTCTCTAAAAAATAAATCAAATCTTAAAAAAAATCAATTTGCCTTTCAATTCCCAGAAAAGTGCTCCTCTCCTGCCTACGGGTGGGATGCAGGGGCTCACTTCCCAGCCTGGTTCCCACGCGGAAGCCTCCTGGATTCCCAAGGCAGGACAGGTACTCCTGGCACCCACAGCCCCCTGTGCTTCTGGACACGCAATCGCAGGAACTATTCTTACTGACCTACGGGCCTCCTCCTTGCCTGCATCACCCGAAGGGAGGGCCACGTCTGTCTTGCTCACTGCCGCCTCCCCACAACACTCAATACAAGTGTGCTGGGAACAGGCAGGTCACGTGCCTGGCTCCTGCCCTCACGAGTTTATTGGGACAAGGACAGAGCATCTGCCTCTAGTTCCTCTGGACAGCTTCACTGGCTGATAAATCCCTTCAGGTGACAATAACGAGTTATTTTCCGAGCACCTATTATGTACCAGGCACTGTGCTAATTAACAGGTGACTGATATCCACGATCTCATTTAATCCCCCAACAAACCCATGGGGACATGTCATCCTCATGCCACAGGTGAGGAGCCGAGGCTCAGGACGGCTAACAGATTGCCAGGGCACCAAGCATGTGCTACCTTCACTGTCCTGACCTTGACCCTGTGCTGTCCTGCTGCTTCTCAAAAGCTAAATCCTAAAACTGATTGACCCACTTGACAGGTAGGCAAAATGAGGTACAAGAAGGCCAGTGGCTCGCTGGCCAGAGACGTTGCTGCCAGATGAGCAACGCCACCCTCTTCCAGCGGGGGAACTCACCTTGCCACTCTCGGCCAGCCCCCTCCTGTGTCCCCACCCTGCCCCTGCCCCAAGGAGAGGCCCGCATACTTGGCCCGATTTTCTGGAATGGTTCCGGGGGTTCCTCCTTCACCTCTTCAGTGGCCACGACACCTTGGTCGAAGGGATCTGTGGGAGAACACACGGCCCTTAGCGCCCTGGTGACCAGGTCTCAGGAGCCCAGCTGGGGACCAGAGAGGCGGCCAGCCACCAAGTACTTACCTGCCCGGTTCTCGGGGGCCCCTTCCACACTGAACACTGAGTCCGGGTGGGAGGCAGCAGCCACAGAAGAAAAGCAAACAGGAGCCCTGTTAGTTCCTGCCCACTCACAGGTGCCTCTGCCCACTCTCCCAGCCCCGGTCCAGGTGAGCTTGCCTTTGGGGCCTAAGGGAGCTGCCCTGGCTAGTAGGGATGCCCCAGAAACCCAGGGACCACAGGGTGGTGCATCCCAACCAGGATGCAGCCTGTGTCTCCATGCCTCTTCCTCCCACGGCAGGGCACCCCCGCCCTCCCGCCCCCTGCCCCGGCAGGGGCAGGCAGGCGTTCTGTCTGCCATGTCTGGGTCGCCAGCACCCCTCTGAGGGGCCAGGGAGACACCAGGGGGAGGGGGGAAAAGCAGGCAAGAGGAAGCATGAGCCAGTAGGGAGTGAGCCTGGTTGTGAGGTGGGTGGGCTCGGGGTGAGGGGGCTACAGAGGGGCCCCAAGATCCTTCCCAGGTCCAAGACCCTATTTCTAGGATTCTTAAGTTTCTAAAAACAAATTACCTAAATTCATTGTTCTAATTTCTAACTCCATAATCTAAGACACTAAAATATCATCATTCATTTTAAAAAATTGGTTTAATTTCACCAGAGCACATGAATACTCAACACGAAATCATATAATGAATTGGTATGAAATGGTGGGTATTAGACTGATTTCGATCTACAAACCCGGCAATTTCGCTTGGGTTGCCCTGATCAGAAGTATATGTGGAAGGTGATGGAGACCTCTTCTCCCCGGGACCCTCAGGGGCTGGTCACTGCCCTCATGGTCTCGCCCCTGCATGACCTTCCTCTGGGTCGGAGGAGGGAGGGAGGGCTGAGGGAAGGGGGGTGGCCAGATAAGCAGCCCTGGGCAGTGCTGGGGCGCTCTCTCTACGTGACTCGCTCCCAAGGAGTGAGGGGCCTGACTCACCATCCACTGCGTGCAGGTCTCGGTGCTCCTGGAAACAGCTGTAGTATTTGTACTTCTTCCCGCAGATGTCACACGTGTACCTGAAATTATCTGTGGGGAACATGTGGTTACCAGGGCTTCAGTCACTCGGGGTGGGATTTTGGGGGCCAGCTCACCTGGCCTCAGGAACCAAAGAAGGGACTAGCTCAGACTGGCCCGGATGGGTGACTCCATGGAGAATCAGTTCTGGGGTCTGTGAGGGGGCCTCTACACAAGGGGACTGGGAAGCCAGCCCCCAATCCCACCCTAGGGGAGCTCAGCTCCTAAGGGCAGGTGGTAGCTGGCCCCACGGCTAAGCAGGCCCGGGGCTGGCAGCTTCGGAGAGGGCTCCCAAGGACCCCGTCTCCTGGTGTTCACATGCTGCGTGTTCCCTTCTCCTCGAGCCTGGGCAGGACCAAGTGACTTGCTTCTAATGAAGACAATGCAGCAAAGGGATGTGACATCCCTTCTCTGTCCAGGGATGTCACGTCTGAGATTAGGTTACAGAAGACCATGACTTCCGTCTGGCTCATACAGTCTGGCTCTCCCTAGCTGGCATGCTGTGAGCTGCCCACGGAGACCACCTGGCAGCCTCAGTGAACAGCTGGGAACCGCGGCCCTCTGTCCAAGAGCGTGGGGAAGGCCAACTCTGCCAACAACCACACGAGTGAGAGTGGAAGCAGCTGCTGCTCTGGTTGAGATCTGAGAGTTGACCATGACCCTGGCTGACACCTTGACTGCAGCCTTACATAAGACCCAGAACTGGAGGACCCACTCCCAGATTCTGACCACAGAAACCGGGAGATAATCAGTGTTTGTTGCTTTAAGTCGTTAGGTTTGGGGGAAATGCGTCAGACAGCAATAGATAACAAACACAGGGCCCGAGTCTGGATAATCCCTAGGTCTACCCAAAGCCAGAGGCTGGACTCACACCGAAAGTTGTCCTCCGCACACTGGTAACACTGGCAACACTAACATTTGCTCGCACAAACCTTGCATGTGCACTCCTTGGGCTGATCTAGGGACGGCCCAGCCACTCATCCTTCTAAAGATGCCCGGCACAGGGAGAGTGGGCAGCTTGCTCAGGCTACACAGTGGGGCTGGAAACTGCCAGGATTCAAGTACTGACTTAATTCTAAGCCACGGCTGAGTCAGGGTGTAACAGGGTGCAGCCAAGAGGGGGGCCCCAAATAGGGATTTGGAATGGGGCCCAAAACTCAGGGTGTCCAGGAAATATTAGGATGTCCTCCTCCTCCCCCCGGCCCACAGGTGTGGGCTGGGGGAAGGGACAAATGGAGCAGGGCCATTGAGAGCTGTTTTGTATAGCAACAGCTTTGCAGCTAACCTCTGGTATGGTCATTTAACATATCTATAACCTTTAACTAGTTACATAGATATGTTAAATAGTTGTGGCCATGCTCTGAGCCAGGGGAATGGAAGTAACCAGCCCCCCAAGATGTAACTGGGGGGCAGGTCCCCTGAGTTACAGCACCTGGGTGGGAGCTTGGAGAAGATTGGCTCCATGATATGGGGCCATGCCTGTCCAGACTCACGATGGCAGCCCAGTAAAGCTGGAAGGACATGGGAGTGCTGGCAAGTGTAGCCAGTTGTGGGAGGAGTTGGAAATGGGGCTGCAGACTCAGAGTGGGGATTTAAATGGGGACACAGCAGTCATTAGAGAGAACCACGCGGTTTTGACAGAGTGGAGACTCCTGCAGCCATTGTGCAGAGAGGACCACTCAGCTGTGGCACTGCAGAGAACCACGTGGCTTTACCAGAGTGGGGACCCCCGCAGCTTTAGAAGGGGGAGCCACCACCTGGCTTTAGCAGAGATCCCGGTGACACAGCTGATGGTGCCGGGAATCGAGGGAGGCCTACCAGCTGAGCACGGATTACTGGGAAGAACCGGGGGCTGCCTGAGCCATGGACTCCTATTTCTTTTCCTGAGATACGGTACCCCAGACTGGGTAAAGGGGGAAGGAAGGACTGTGTGTGTTTGGGGGTGTTTTAAGGGACTTTGAGATTTTGTTGAAGACATTAGGTCACTACTTTAAGTTTGTATAGCATTAAATAAACATTTCCTTTCCTTTTCATGAATCTCTGGCATTGAGAGGTGTCTTTCCTATAAGGCGGCGGACATAACGAACCTGGGGGGTTCCTTTCAGTAGTAGTATATTGCCTTTGGCCCCCCATTTTGTTCTGTAACAAGGGTGCATGGCCCTTCCCTGTCCAGCCACCCTCCACCCCTGGGCTGGGGCACCAGCCCCCGGCCCCTCTTCTGATCCTCCACACCCAAGTACAGGATCGGATGAGACCCCTCCATGCCAAAGCTGTAACGCCGGGCAATTCTGTGTGAAGGTTTCTGGCCCCCGAGTATCTGAACTTTGGGACATAGATGACATCAGTCGTCTCCCCACCTCTGCAACCACCTTGTGCACTGCACCTGCAGTCTCTGAAAGTGCCAGGGCCACAGAGACTGACTGGTCCCCGAGTGAGGTGTGCACACAGCCTCGGCACATGCAGACACTCTGAGGGTGGGGGGATCAGGCAGGGTCCAGCAGGCTACCCTCCTACCAGTCTCTCCCATCAGGCCTGAACCAGCCAGGGGACAGTGCAGGGGGAAGGCCTGGCCCTGCCTGACCTCACCCGACCTGCCAGCCAGTGCCACTCCACCTGGGGATTCGGTGTCCCCTCTTCCCTCTAATGTGAGGGGAGGAGAGAGTAGTGGATGGCCTGAATCCGGGGGCCTCCCCCAGGCTGGCGGTTCCAGGACTCGAAGCCTGGCTCAGGCTTCCGCCCTGTTCCCTGGCCGGGAATCCAGCTTAGACAACGACCTCCCCCATCAAGTCCCATCCAGACCATAATCCTCTCTGGGTGCTGGACACCTGGGCAACGGAGGTGGGGAAGTCAAGGCCACCTGGGGTCTGTGGGTTCCAGATGGGGCCCTGCCCCTGAAAGTCTTCTCCCACACCGGCCAGTGTTGGTCACCCCCTGCAGCTGCCTGCCCCACTTGCCTACACAGCCTCTCCAGCCAGCCAGGCCACGCCCACCACCTCCGATCAAACAGGAACCCCTAGTTTCTGCCACTGACAAGCGCCCGCCCAGCATGCGATGTTGAATCCCATGCCACTGTGTCTCACAGGGACGGGGAACACATTCCCAGACCCACCTAAGGCAGGAGTGGATGCACACAGGAGAGCTGTCCCTAAAGAAAGAATGGGAAACCACATTCTCAGAACTCCCGGAGACTCTGGAAACAGCACTGCAAACCCACTCTGGGAGGCAGGCTGCCCAAGCTCCAACCCCACTCCACCGCTTACAGGGACGACTAACACCAACACACTCCCTAGCCTCTGCCCCATGGCATTCTTCTCTGTAAGAGGGGGACGACAGTTCCCTCCCCTCCCGGAGCTGTAATAATCAACGAGCACAATGCTAAGGGAATCGATGTGACGACAGCAAGAAAAGTGGATGTGAAGTTAGTCTTTTTGTTAGCTGAGAGACGGGTAAGCGGGCAGAGACCTCTGTATCTGTGTAACTTTTCTAACAAAGAAATGAGAGATTCCCGGACTACAGGTGTGAGACCTGGTTTCTGTGCCCCCTCCACCCCTGACAAGCTGGACGACTTCTCTCTGGGTCTCAGGACGCCCATCTGCACCACGGGCGGGCTGGACGTGCTCTCCTCCACCGGACCCTTTGGCTCCAGGACTCTGCGGCCGGGCTCCCGTAACGGGGCTGGGGGTGCGAGGGCGCCAGGCTTTCTGAGCAGCACCGCTGGCCTGGGTCAGGGCAGGGTTGCAGCACGGGGAATAAAATAAAGCCCGCTGGCCATGGGGAGAGAACGCCACAGGAAGGAAGGGAGAAGCGATGGCAGGACTAAAAATAGCTCCGGCGACAGAGCCCTTAACCAGCGGCGGGCCTGCGGGAACAACGGAAGTCGGACGGAACACAACGCATCATTGAGGGGCCGCCGGAGAGGCTGGGGGCCCAGAATCGCCGAGGAAGAAAAGATAAATGGGGAAGACCCTGGGATGGGAGGCTGACCCCAGGCAGAGACCATGGGAGCTGGAAGAGAAGGGAGCTATTGAAGGGGAAGGAGCCCGGGGCCCGGCTGGGGTGGGCGGGGCTCGGGAGGAGGGGCAGGCCTTCCCCCCCTTCCAGACGTGGGCCCTCTGCCTGCTGTCGGCCCGACCTGAGCCCCGGATTCTCCTCCAGACGATGGAAGAGCAGCCTCATCCCTGCCTGCCTACCGTGAGGGTATGAACCCGCAGCCAGCGGACAGGAAAGCGCCTCAGGAGGGGTGCTTCGGACCCGGTGCGGTTAAGGTCCTGCTTGAGCCCCAGACGCCTGCTTTGGGTGTTTTGTTTGAGGGGGTCCTGTTTGTTTATATTTTAAGAAATGTTTTTATGGCGGTACAACAAACATGCAGGACAGGAGTTCCCGTCTGTGCAACATGGCAGACACGAGTAGTTGTGGCAGAGGTGTCCGGTGGCCTGCGAAGTCCCAAAGGATCAGCGTATGGTCCCCTACAAAAGTGTGCTGGCCCTGACGTACAAAGGGCACAAACCCTAAGTGTGCGGCTTGTTCCATTTTCGCAAACCCGAAACACAGAGTTGGTGGACCCAGCGCACTGCCCCACTGTCGGGACCCAGAGGCCCCTTCCTAAAGGGAACCAGGATTCTGACTCTCACAGTGCAACTTTGTATCCCCATTTCTGCACTTCTTGCACGCAGAGCTCAGAGGAGGGGCTCTTTGCTGGCTGCCTTTGCTGCTGTGGTTAGTGGGCCATCCACGCTGCTGTGCGTGGCTCGAAGCCTCTGCTCCTCGTGGCTGTCCTGCGGTCCTTCGTGTGAACACTCCATGACTGACTTATCGCTTTAACTAGCTGGGCGCTCGCTCGGGAGGTCTGGTTTGGAGCTGTCACAACTACTGCTGCTGAGAACACCCCAGTTCACAGCTCAGGGTGGACACCAGCACACATTTCTGCTGGGACACACCTGGGAGTGCATGAAGCTGCTGGGTGCCAGAGCTCAGGGTTTGTTGGGTGGGGCTGGCTCCACCCCAGCCTGCAAGCCTCTGGCTGGCTTGCTCACCGGGCCTGTGGGTTTAAATCTGGAGGGTGGGCAAGCAGGACCTGTGAGCAGCAAAGAGAACACTGTCCCTAGATGTCAAGGCCCCGCACATCCCAGGCTCTGGGGTACCGCATCCCAGTTCACTGGTGCCCATGGGTGCTTAAGAGATAACTCATTGAAGCAGAAGTTCCCTAACATCAGCTACGGAGCCCAATCCATGGAGGGGAGTCAAAAGAACAGAAGAAACTGCATACGCTGGGCCCCCTTAGAGGTGCCTGTGCAGGGGCCTGAGAAGTCTGTAGTAAGAAACATGTTCACCTTATCGGAACACAAGGTTTCCCCAGGCATTTTGGCTGGAGAACCCCTTACCAACAGAACACCTACTAGCTTCCCTGGAATGAGAATGCCATGGAACACACTTTGGAGGAGGCTGTTTCAAGGTGCTGTGTTGCAATTCCGTAAGAACCCTCTGGCCCCAGAGCCTGGACCGTAACAATGTGTCTCTCAGAGGCCACCTGGGCCCTGCTGGTTGGGGAGGGGAGAGGATGAGTGTTTCCTCCTTCTACCCTCGGCTCTCTGCCCCTACCCCCACCCCCAAAACCCATAAGGAGGGGAAAATACTCACTGCCTTGGGAGGCTCCCTCCCCTGAGGTGGCTTCAGTGTCTGTGGGGGTGGGGGGTGGGGAGGAGCGGAGAGGAACAGAGACAGAGGGAGGGGGAGAGAGAGAGAGAACGAATGAGGAGGACGCTAGACCAATAGCCAGGCACATGAACCCACTACAATGCACACAGGGACACTCTCCCTGATTCCCAATGCAGGGAACTGAGCCTGAGCCTCTCAGTCCCTCCCCATCCCCCCTCAACCCCCCACCATCAGTCAAGGCTCTGACCCAAAGCCTTTCCTCCCTGTCAGCCAGGCTCAGGGAGGGCCATGTGCCAGCCCTCCTGTCCCCTCAGCTTCAGTGTCCTCATCTTCAGAATGGACACAGCCACCCGCCCCCACTCTAGGCCCGTCGTGGGGAGCACATGAGATGACAATGGGCAGCACTGAAGCATTCTGGGAAGAAGCAGGCCTGTGCGGAACAGGCAGGGGGCCTTGCTGGCAGAAGCCTGGTGGCATGTCCTGCAGCCCCCCCTCCCTGTGCACTCTCCCAGGTAAAGGATACTCCTCTCCTCCTCTGGAGTTACCCAGGTGGGGCCCTGGCAGAAAAACGGGCAGAGAACGGGGGTGTGGCCCCTGAACTCCGCCCGAGGGACACACCACTCACCTCGGTGTGCACGTACGTGGGTCTGGAAACAGTTGTAGTACTTGTACTTCTTGCCACAGATCCCACACTCGTAGGACCCTGGAAAACAGGAAAGAAAGGGACCGCTCAGCCAGCACCCAATACCTGCAACCGTGTGGCCCCAGTATCTGCAGTGATGCCTCCAGGGACCACTGACTCTGTCTCAACGGGACAGAGCTCCTCCAATGGCCGTCTCATCCCCAGTAAGCAAGGAGGCGGCAAGGACCTGCAGAGGCACCGCTGCCCCGGAGGTCAGGAGGCCTGGGTCTAGTTCCAGGTTTGCCTCCTGCAGAGGCTTGCCAGTCCGTACCTCGCTGAGGGACCTCGGGAGAGTCACTTGCCACCTCTGGGCCTCAGTTTCCAAATCTGCAATATGGAGGAGGCAACTTCTTTAAAAAAATTTTTTTAAAGACTTCATTTATTTTTAGAGAGAGGGGAAGGGAAGGAGAAAGAGAGGGTAAGAAACGTCAGTGTGTGACTGCCTCTCACATGCTTCCTACTAGGGGCCTGGCCTGCAAGCCAGGCATGTGCCCTGAATGGGAATCGAACTGGTGACCCTTTGGTTCTTAGGCTCACAGTCAATCCACTGAGTCACACAAGCCAGGGCACAGAAGACAACTTCTTTAGGTAACTCTCATACTTATTCCCTGAGAAAAAAGAAGGCGAAGGTCAAAGTGCTCCTCCACAGTAAGGGACAAATTGCAACCATGTAAGGAAATCACCACTCAAATGCATCAGAAGAATTTCTAGCTGCTTGTCCTTGCCAGGATGGGACAGGCGTTAAGAGGACAGGCTTCAAATCAAACACGAGCCGGGTAACTTCCTCACCCACACTGAGCCTCGGTCAGTGTGTTCATCTATAAACTGGGACTCAAGGTGCCTACCCCACAGGTGGGGCCCTACACAACCCCAGGAAGTACCCGGGCCCACTACAGTACAGGCGTGTCTGACAAGGAGAGGACCCCCTCCTCTGCAGAGGGCCTGTCTTGTTCCCTCAGACATGCAGAGATAACACGGTACAAGCACCTGACCCCAGCCCCATGCTGGGTCCTCCCCGCCGGAGTAGACGGACCAAAACTTCAGCCAAGTTCCCGGCGGGCATGTTTCAGACAGGTCAGAGAGGCAGAGACGCCCACCACGCAGAGCACAGGGCAAAGGCCCACAGCAGGAGGCCAAGCAGAGCCCCCGGGACCCTGCCCAGCAGAGGTCACAGAGCGGAGGCCCTGCCATCCCTCACGCAGGCCTGACACCACTTGGGCCCCGGCCCCATCCTTTCTAACACATAAACACACAGGCCCTGGCCCCACTCCAGGCTTAACGTGCTAGAATGGCTCGGGCTAGTGGCCTAGGAATCTGCCTTCTTAAAAGGGTCCCCAGGGTGTCTGGATGCTCAGCAACCAGGCAGGAGAATCACTGGTTCACGCGGAGCCTCAGCTCCACTGTTTTCCGGCCGGCCCGCAGTCTGTCTCCTCACCGGGAAATGGGGATCACGCGAGGGCACTGGCGTGAAGGCTGCGTGGAGCTGGGGTGCAGGTCCCACCCGAGCCCAGGTACGCAGTGAGTGGGTGAGATGTCAGACTGAGTCAAAGAGCACTGGGCTGGGAGTCTGACTCTCAGCGCGGACGGCCACCCCCTGGCTGGCTGAGCTCAGGCGCAGGCCTTTCCCGGTCCATGCCTCAGTTTCCTCATCTGAAACGCAGGACTGTGACTCCTGCGCCTCAGCCCCGAGGTCAGGAGTACTGAGGCACAGCATGCGAGTCGGCTGATGCGCAGGCGGCATCGTCACCGGACCACCGTGGGGCACTGACGGGAACGCCGTCATCCTGACACCGGCATGGAACTGTGCAGCCTGTCATCCAGTGATTTTATGCGTCTTGTCTCGCAGGGAAGAATGTAAACACGTGCGGGGCAAAGACCAGGTCTGTGTATTTCTTTGTCTTCAGCTCCACGACTGGCACAAGGCAGGGGCTCCACAAATTTACGGTGTTCTACTCATCTGTCACCGAGTAACAGTGACCCAACCCCACGGCCACCGTGTACCCCAGGCTGGTGCAGCGGGCTGCTCACTGAGGGGCCCTCTGGGGACTCTCAGCTGAGGCTGACCCCTCTCCCCCCGCCTGACTTCCCGCCTGTCGTGCTTCCTCACTCCCGGGTTCCCCAATTACCTTTTTGTCCTCTGTCACTGTCACTCTCTACTAAGCACCAGGTGCTGCACAGGCCTGGCCCCTGACCTCAATGCACAGGTGAGGGGGCTGAAGCTGGCCAGCTGTGAGGCACCCTGCCCACCTCACACCAATGAGTGGAAGTGGGGTCCGGACTCAGGCCCCCTCACACATCAGCTCAGTGCCTCCTCACCAGCCCAGCAGCCAAAGGCAATCGTTACCCCCATTCCCAGGCGAGGGAAGTGGGGGTTGGAGGGTGACACAGACCGCCCAGATGTGTCTAGATCCAGAGCCAGCGTGCGTGCGTGCCCGCCACGCAATCGGCCCCCGGGGAAGCACCAAGAGGAGATGGTGCTTGTTCACAGGAACACTTACCGAGGACACCCAGGTCCCACTTCTGTCCTCCGCCTTCCCAGAGGTCCTCACGCGGTTGGGACATGTAAGCACCCACGTCAACAGTGAGTTTCTAAGTTCTAAGGGGGCAGGTGGTCCAAGGCTGGGGCTACTCAGCTCATGGTTTGTGAGGAACTGGACTCAAAGGCAGCCACCAGGCTCCAGAGCCATCCTACTGCCGCCATGCCAGGTCCCCTCCGGGTGCCAAAGGAGCTGTAAATCCCCTGCCATCACGGGGCTCCCCCTGACACTGCAGGGCAGCAGAACACCCCAACCACGCCTGGTACCACCACGGGACTCCCAGAGTCCATTATCAAGAGGCAGCGGCAGCTGGCAGGGCACGCCAGCACTTGGAAGCGAGCCTCACCCCCACCCCCATCCTGCTGTCACTAGTGACACATCAAGGATCCTCAGGCACCAACCAACAGCACTGTCCAGCACTTTCTACAGCTGCCAGCAGAGAACCTGGCTTAGCGCCCTCCCTGAGAGTCCTGGGCAGGCCAGGTGAGACCAGCAGAGGCCAGGAGAGTCTAGTGCCTGCCGCCACTAGAAGGAAGAGGGAAGGATCGAACACGGAGGTGGAGCAGGCTGTCTCCTGAGGACAAGGAACATGGGTAGCAACCCCCCCGCCCCCCCCGGCTGTCTCACCTGCACCCAGCTAGCTCCCGATAAGCTGAGACACGTTTCAGGACACACGGAAATGCAACAAGACAGAAATCCAAAGCCGGTGAAGGGGAAAAGAAAAACACAAACGGGGCCAGACAGAGCAATAGCCCCTCATGACGGGCAGTCCTGTACTTGGCGCGGTGCATCACAGCAGCCGCGGCTCACAGATCAGATGCTGAGGAGCGGCCAGAGGGGAACAGGGGACCCGGAGAGGTAAGTCAGGGACAAGCAGGTTTCCTGAGCCTCTCCGGGACTTGGCTTCGGGCCAAACATCCCCTGAACCAGGATCTTCCAAGCAGAGGGAAAAGCCCCTAGGGACGTGTGACCACAGGCAGTTGTGAGACAACCGATCCCCCAATCATCAACGCCCACATGCATCCTTCCCAAAATCCACCTGACGGAGAACACGGCAGCAGGCGGGGAGCCCACCCCCGATGGTTCTCCCTTCTTCCTCCCCGCTCACCTTCCCCCTTCTCCCACATTACACACGAGATGGTTCTCCCATCCACCGAATCCCGCCTCGGTGTCCTGCACCGGGCGTGAGCATCTCAGGGCTCCCGGCAAAGGCGTGATCTGAAATATTGGCGTCGGGCTCAGACAGTGGGGGGATCTACCGACCGGGAACAACTCGTGTGAACTGAGTGTTTTCTGAGTCACAGCTCTCAGCAGAATTGACGATCTAATGGGGTCCTCAGAGGAGAGACCATGAAAAATAGTGTCTGATGAGAAACCCCCATGTCACCCCAGCAGACTTGGAGTCAAAGAACTGAATGATGCAAAACAAAAACGAACTAAGCAAACAGCTAGACCAAGAACAGAGTCACAGAACTGGAGATCACATGGAGGGTTATCTGCAGGGAGGGGAGAGGGGAGAATGGGGCGAAGGTACAGGGAATTAGTGGTATAATTCCCTGTGGTATGCCTACAGGCATAAATGGTAGGTGCAAAACAGGCAGGAGAAGGTTAAGAATAGTACAGGAAATGGAGAAGCCAAAGAACTTACATGTACAACCCATGGACATGAACTAAGTTGGGAAATGATGGGGGGGGGGGTGCAAGGTGAAGGAGAATAAAAGGAGAAAAAAAATGGGACAACTGTAATAGCACAATCAATAAAATATACTTAAAAATATACTTTTAAAAAAGTGACATTGCTAGTACAAAACTCCACAACTCCCCAGCTCCTTAGTTAGGTGATCAAGCTTTCTGAGCACTTAACACTTAGGAAAACCAAAAGGCAGGAATTAAATTCATGCCGAATCCTGTCTCATTCAACATATAAGAAATATTAATTCACAGAAACATGAGCCAATTGAAAGAGAAATAAAGCCCCATCCATTTTATGAAAAGGTGCATTTTCGATAATTTTTTACTTGCACATTTATGATTGCCCTAAATTTGTTTTTGGCAAGTTGTATGCTAATAATAACTCAGCCTGGAAAAGAAATGTTTTAAAATATAGAGCTTTATGAGCCCAACAAATTTTTTTTTAGAAATTTCTATTTCAATTTACATACATCTTGTTGCGGGAGAGGAGTGTGAAACGGTGATCAATAAAAGGCTCTCAAGCATAAAAAATATATGACATCAGGATAAAATCCTGTGAGGGGAAGTGGACCGGAAATTTGAGTTCAAGGAGAAAGAGGGAGGACGTGAAACTTCCGGCTGCTGAAGATGGGCCTGTTCCTACGTTTCTTGAACGGATGATAGCGGACAGCAAGTGGCAGTGGGATTATGCGGGATGCATCTAAAAGGGTTCACAGCTTTATTTCCAAAGGCCACATTTTTTTTACACAATACTCCAGAAATCATATCCTCTGTAACTGCTTAAACGTTGAA